GAGAAAGTGACAGGTGATTGACACCCAGGCTGCTGCCAATTTGATCTTGTCAACTAATATTAACCATTAGTTCAAGTCAAAGGAGCTGGTGACATTTTCCTGAAACTACATTGACTTTCTTTATTTGGAGATGTTTCTTCAAACGTTGCTGTCTTTAATTAAATGGGCTCATGTCAATTTTTCTTTGAATTCTAACAATGTTTTGTGTCTAACTTATGTTTAAAAATTGCATGTTGGACATTTTTCACATGGCACATTTGAACTGTGTCTCTATTGCAACAAATGGTATTTAGATTTGAAATTTTCTTGCCTGAATCTGCAAGTTGTGGACATTTTGAAGTCTTACTGCCGAACATTGGTGTAAATAGGATGAAGGTTATTGGAATATTGCTAAAAGCGGCATAAACCCAGCTTCATAGAAGGGACTAAGGATCGGGTGGTCAGACTCGTTGACTTGGTTGACACATGTCATCATATCCTAATTGCGTAGATTGATGCTCATGCAGTTGATCACTGGATTGTCTGGTCCAGACTTGATTATTTACAGACTGCCGCACTATACTCATAATCATTAAGCCATTATGTGACATGGACTGGGATCGTCACGATATGGCTGAGATATTGCCAATGTGACGTTAAATATTAACTCACTCACTCACTCATGGACTGGGAACTCCTCCTATAGGGCTTACTTTAGACTAAGGCTTAGTCTCTGAATATATATAATTTTGATAGTAACAAACAAGCCCATTTAAATTGAAAAGGAGCCCTAGGGAGACCAGAGATTCAGAACCTGAGGAAATCTAGACTTGCTTCATTTAGGGCTTTAGCACTGCAGAGAGGCTTGGCAGTAGGGAAAATAATTTGGTTCAGGAACTGTGAGACAGACTAGGCTTACTTGTTACCCACCAGTGGTTGCGATGGTGGCGACCTGATGGATGGATGCGGTTTCCTAAAACCTCAGTACAGCACAATCCAGACAGGAAGCATGTCTCAGCTCGCCACCTGCAGCAAGGAAAAACATAAACATGGAAAGTGTGAAATATGGGCAGCACATGACATAATAGTATTCAGTCGGTATCCTATCAAAATAGGCCATTAAAGTACTTCTAATAACAATTACACCGACAAGCCTGGTTGGACAATGGAGTGGTTGCATGTTTTGTTTGTGTTTAATATCACATTTAGTAGTTTCAAGCTGCTTGACTGCAGGTCTGTAAGTTATTAAGTCTGGACCAGAGAATCCGGTTATTAACTGATGCTTCAGTTGACTCGCCTAAACTTGCATATTATACTGGACAAAATAAGTTAGGGCTATTGGTATTTTTATGATTTATATTTTATCAGTGTGTCAATGAATAAATAGATCATTATTCATAATTTCAAAATTTACATATGTCCCTAACTATTTTTGTCCAGTATATTATCATTTTGAGTAGAGTACAACCTATGTTACAATAGATGTGTGGAATATTACCAGTTTGATGTACAAGCCGAAACTAGATTACTAGATCGGAAGGTTATATAAGTGGCTAATGTTGCATATGGACACAAGTTGTGTTCATGTGATGATTAATCACCCACTTGGACTGATTCTGTTTATACGCTACACAAGGATGTGAGTGTAGAACCACTTCTGTGGAGCAGGTCCTTCAAAGAGCAGAATGAGCCAAGACGTGGCTGATCTTTTGCTCTCTGACTCATGTTTTTACATAGCATGTGATGGCAATGCCAACTTCCGTCTCGTCTGCTTTCACTTTTAGTTTAACCCAATTGTGATACGAAAATAAATTATTTCGTGTTGTGGCAATAAATCTTTGCCCGCAGTTCTAATGCTTTTGTTTTCATATGGAAGAAGGAAAATAATTCTTGGCAACGAAATCCTTCATACGTGTGATTCAGTTTTTAGCAGGTTTCTTGAATTGGAATCTGTGATAAACTAGTATATGAAGATTATATAAGTATTTACCATGGACACACAAATCAAATTCATGATGTTACTGATGTCAAGGGAAAATCATGAAAATGTTTTGACCTTGAAATAATATATCTTACGCCTCTGGAGTTGCTGGTCCCCAGTTCACAATGGGGATTGGGTGGTTGGTGACATTGTGGATGGAATGTCATTGTGATGTGGCTGATAATGTGATTTGCTACTCTTTTCTCAGTCTCTTATATGCTTTGATCAAGCATGATATTGTACAGATCTGCATGAAATATCTTCAGTATTGCTGACTGACATGTAACACTCTCACTCACTTCCTCACTCACTCACTCACCAAATCACTCACCCACCAAATCACTCACCCACCCACCCGACCAATCACTTGATAACCTGACACACACATCCCTTCTAAAGAAACAGATACTATTGTAACTAGTTGACATGTTGAGGCTTGAATTTCTTCACTATCATGTAACAGTTTTGATACCAGCTAGACTGACAAGAGATATCAGTGCAAGGGTGTTTGCTCAGTCTTCTGCCTGCCCAGCTGATTTCTCAAACTGCATGGCACTCCAGTCAATCAATTAGTTCCATTGAAGACTTCCATGCTTGCTCCGAGCTCAGACGTTCTTCTGAAGCTACTCAAATAGCTCACTTTAACATTGATCTGAGAACCGTCCTACATAACACTTGGAGACTGGACCCGTGAAGGTCCAGGTTAGAATTGATCTCAAGTAACCCATGCTTGTCATAAGATGCGACTAACAGGATCGGGTGGTCAGGCTCGCTGACTGGGTTGACACGTCATCGTATCCCAATTGCATAGATCGATGCTCATGATGTTGATCCCTGGATCGTCTGGTCCAGACTCGATTATTTACAGACCACCGCCATATAGATTGAATATTGCTGAGTGCGGTGTAAAACTAAAAACTCACTCACTTGGAGATGGTTCAGTACTGCACTGTGACTGAAAAATAGCGTTATATTTTAATCAAAAGACGAACTAGATTATCATCATTTTAAAAGATTTTTTAAATCAGATTTTGTTTTTGTAATTTCTAAGGCTGTTACGATTCAATTGCATATTTGGTTAATCGAACCGGAGCCCTTCATGAATTCAATTCATTATTCATGGTCAATAGAACCGAATATTAACAAATATTTACGATTTTCTTAAGGGAGAGTGTTTTACTTGAACCTTATGCCATTTTTCAAAGTTAGATATGCAAGAATGGAATATGTACTAGCCTTGCAGTAGAGCAAGTCATGTTAGTTTGCCAAGGCCGCACATGGTACTGTCAACTAAAACTATTACATACCCTATTTGATTGTCATGAAGTCACTGGACATGGGCAAAATGTGAAGCTAAATATTGCTAAAAGCGGCATAAAACTATACTCACTCACTATCACTCATACTCACCACTCACACACTCACTCGCCTCTGTATCCAAGAGCAGTTGACCTGTGTGATACCCGATCAATATTCACCAGCCAGAAAAGCTTATCACATATTGCAAGTTTTCCTCAGCAACCATCCAAAATACCACACAAATTGATCAAATAAAATGGTGGTGTTGAGATTAGGGCAACATGCTGCCATGTTCCTGTGTATGAATCATGTTGACTGGAGGCTGAGTCAGGAATGAGAGACCGCCTGGCACTTGTGACTGGAAATCATCTCAAGATTTTAATCAGTTAAAAGTTATCTTTGGATTTGTTTGAGAACGGTAACCAGTCCGTGCTCTCATAAAGTTCTTTCCAATTTTGAAAGTCGTTAAGAAAATTGCTGTTTTCATTTCTTTCACACAGTCAGATCTTTGTCATTTCAATGATAATTTCTTTTTTTCAAAGTAATTGACCTAATTGTGGAAAATGTTTTATTTGAAATGTGCAGGGATAGACACTGCTTGTCCAGTTTAAGACTTTTCAGAGCCTAGCTTATTTCTTATTAAAAAAGGGGCAGTGGGGTAGCCTAGTGGGTAAAGCGTTGGCTCGTCACACCGAAGACCCGAGTTTGATTCCCCTCATGGGTACAATGTGTGAAGCCTATTTCTGGTGTCCCCCGTCGTGATGTTGCTGGAATATTGCTAAAAGCGGCGTAAAACCAAACTCACTCACTCACTTATTAAAAAATTCAATTTTTCTTTAAGTTCCAGCCAGAAATGAACTGTAGACTAGTTCGATTTGACCAGTAAGTGTAATGAGTGTAGGGGCGGTGGGGTAGTCTAATGGTTAAGCGTCCGATCGTCAGGATGAAGACCTGGGTTTGATCCATTAAATCTCCAGTCACTGGCCCGACAGGCTAGCTAAATTTGGAAACTTATTTTGCATACTTTTGTCTCAAAGTACCTGATATAGACTACCAGTTGTTCGACTTCATTTGTGCCTGACTCTGAGAGGGTGGGTTCAAATCCCTTATGACCGCCTCCGTGGTGTAGTGGTTAGAGCGTCCACCTGGAGAGTGGAAGGTCACGGGTTCGATCCCCGACTGCATCATACCAAAAGACGTTAAAATATGGTACTTGTTGGTCCCTGCCTGGTGTTCTGCATTAATGGGTACAACAAGGACTGGTCGGCTCGGAGTCATATGAGCGAAATATTCTCAAGCACGACGTTAAACCCAATTTCACCTCACCTCACCTCAAATCCTTTATTGGATTCGACCTTACAAGAGTACTAGAATCTGTACTTTAATGAGAAAGTGTAATCCTAAATATAACATATGTTACATTTGACCCCTTTCTGGGAGGCATTGTGCTTGTATACACAGGATTTGATGTTTGATGTTCCTTTGTTCGTATCTCTATAAGTAACTCCCACTCTGTGGCACAATGGTATTTGTAGCAGTCCTGTATCTGAAGCTGTGTCTGATGATAGTGCCCCTATAAGTAACTCCCACTCTGTGGCACAATGTTTTTGGTATCAGTCCTGTATCTGAAGCTGTGTCTGATGATAGTGCCCCTATAAGTAACTCCCACTCTGTGGCACAATGTTTTTGGTAGCAGTCCTGTATCTGAAGCTGTGTCTGATGATAATGCCTTGTTTTGCAGGTAGATGAAGATGGCAACGGCAGTATTTCTCTTGATGAGATCAAAGATGCTCTTGCAGCAGTCAACATCAAACTGGCCGGCTATGAAATCCGGGAGATTGTCGAGCGATACGACACTGACGGCAACATGAAGCTTGATATGAAAGAGTTTGAAAAGGTAATGGAGATCAGCCCACATTCAATCTCAATTTGACCTTGAAAAGGAATTAAATTTGATGAAACGCCCTAAATTTGCCAAATGTTGTTAATTCTGCAGTTAATATATATTTATTGTATTTTCCATTCCATTGTCTTATGTATGATGACATCATATGGCAAAAGGGGCGAGGGGTAGCCTAGTGGTTAAAGTGTTCACTCGTCACGCCAAAGAATCGGGTTCGATTAGCCACATGGGTACATTGTGTGAAGCCCATTTCTGGTGTCCCCCGCCATAATCATACTGGAATATTATGAAACTATACTCACTCACTCACTCACATCTTGTAACTTTTCTCGACAAGATAATGGAAAAGCATTGAATGTGTAACTTTTGAACTACCTTTTGTTACAATTAGTATATGGTTGTTTAACCAGACTTTATATGAATGAATGTCTTGACTTCCTGTAAGCTGTTGGTTTTATACATTAATTGCATGTTTGGTTTCATAAATGAAGCAGTTCTGAAAAAAATCCGATATCTATATCCCACTTGAGTGTAGTTTTTTAAGAAATTATGTGGTAGTAATCTAAACAAAGGTGACTGGATAGTATTTGACTGTTGTGTTATTTGATCGTTCTCCAGCTATATGTTGAAGAACTAAAAAAGCGGAACTTCGGCCTGAAGTTCAAGACATCTGTAGCCCCCAAGCGTGGTGTTCGTAGCCATGAAGGAGTGTCACAGGCGTCTACAGTTGGAACTACACACACTGTCAAGGACTCTGAACTTGTTGCCTTCTCTGATTGGATCAACACGTGAGTACATTTGCAGAATTCCCCATGTCATTCACCTACAATACCCAACTCATTTCATCCCACAAGGTGCGGTGGGGTAGCCCAATGGTTGAAGGGTCCGCTCGTCACGCTGAAGACCCGGTTCAATCCCCCTCATGGGTACAATGGAATATTGCTAAAAGCGGCGTAAAACCATACTCACTCACTCATCCCACAAAGTCAAATAATGTCCCATTCACCCAACCCAAGCGAACTTCATCCCACGCAGCTGACAGCATTCGATTCACCACACCCTACCCTACCACTCAACATGGGTACAATGTGTGAAGCCCATTTCTGGTGTTCTCCGCCATGATATTGCTGGAATATTGCTAAAAACTAAACTCACTCGTTCACTCACTTATCCTCAACATCCCATTCACCTCACCTCCACCCTCACCTCTCAACATCCCATTCATGCTACACACACACACCACCACCACCACCCACCACCCACCCCCAACATCCCATTTACCCCCATTCATATCACCCCACCCAGCCTTACAACGTCCTATTCACCTCACCCCACCCAACATCCTATTCACCTCAACCCACCCTTCAATATCCTATTCACCTCAACCCACCCTACAATGTCCTATTCACCTCTACCCACCCTACAGCCTTATTATTCACCTCAACCCACCCCACCACGTCCTATTTACCTCAACCCACCCTTCAACATGCTATTCACCTCAACCCACCCTTCAACATGCTATTCACCTCAACCCACCCTTCAATGTCCTATTCACCTCTACCGACCCTACAATGTCCTATTCACCTCAAGGGGCGGTGGAGTAGCCTAGTGGTTAAAGCGTTCGCTTGTCACGCCGAAGACCCGGGTTCGATTCCCCACATGGGTACAATGTGTTAAGCCCATTTCTGGTGTCCCCCGCCGTAATATTGCTGGAATATTGCTAAAAGCGGCATAAAACTAAACTCACTCACTCACTCACTATTCACCTCAACCCACCCTACAACGTCCTATTCACCTCAACCCACCTTACAAAGTCCTATTCAACTCAACCCACCCTACAACGTCCTATTCACCCCAGCCAACATCCACCAACCCAGCCTTACAATATCCCATTCACCCCAGCCATCACCCCACCCAATCTTACAACATCCCATTCACCCCACCCCCACAATATCCAATTCACCTCACCCCACCCCACAACATCCCATACTTTCTGCTGAAGTGTCAGCCCTGTTCACCACAATCATTTTAATGACATTACTGTTTCAGGTCACTCCGAGACGATCCAGACTGCAAAGCATACTTGCCCCTGTCTGGTGACACCCTCTGTGGACAGTGTCGAGGATGGAATTCTTCTGTGGTAAGCCCTCACCAAGATTACTGAACGAAGCTTTGTGTTTTTAAACAACAATTTCAAAATTTAACAATGTCAGTGTCAAATTCATTTTTCTATTTTTCTTTCCATGTTGTAATCACTGTTGTTGGAGTTGCTCCCCTTGTTTGGAATCCTTTCCTGTGCCTTAACAATAAATTGAATGGGTCTTTAATGTTGGTGTAAAAATGATTAAGAGTGCTAAAGAGTGAGTGAGTGTATTCAATTTTAGGAATTAAATGGGTCCTGGAGACCTTCAAATCACCTCCCATGGAATTTTAATCTTCAGACACCCTGAGTGACTTTGACTTTAAACATTGAGGTCATCACAATGTCACCTTCATTTTCATGCTAATTTTGAACATGGCTTAGAGGTAATTCATACATATAAACTTCCATCAGGATTCTGATAGGGTTGATAAAACAACTTTTACTGAACAATGAAAATTCCTGTTTACATGATTTTATTATGAGTTTTATTTTAAACAGTTTTGATTGTAAATTTAGGAACTGCTTTGCATTTATGCAGGGCAAATAGATTTGATGAAAAGTTGTAAATGAGCAGAACACAAGGAAACAATATTGATTTTTCCACCTTCATGGTTAACTGCAAGTTTATGGAGTCTATAAATAACCGACCCATGAAGGTCCGGGTTAGAATGAACCTTCAGTAACCCATGCTTGTCGTAAAAGGCGACTAACAGGATTGGGTGGTCAGGCTCGCTGGCTTGGTTGATACATGTCATCGGTTCCCAATTGTGCAGATCGATGCTCATGCTGTTTATCACTGGATTGTCTGGTCCAGACTCGATTGTTTACAGACTGCTGCCATATAGCTGGAATATTGCTGAGTGCAGTGTAAAACTAAACTCACTCACTCACTGACTGTAAATAACCCTCCAGGATATTCAGAGATAACTTTCAAGGCTCCCTTGTTAGTGGGCAGTATTTTAAGTCAAACACATCTGTGACATCCTGAATTTTTCTCTTAAAAATTTATTGATTTTGTGCGCAGAAATATTTGTTTCTTCTCTTCTAATGGAAGGATGAGACTGTATTGTTCATGGTTGTTGTATTAATATGTTGGGTGCAAGTGTGACATTTAGCCTTAATTGCCTAATGAACAGGGTTACTTCTGTATAATTTGTAAAGTAAGTGATTTGTACAATATGATATATTGTTATCCCCCGCAACGCGTTTTGCGGGGGGGTATTAAAAGGGAATTCGTCTGTGCGTGCGTGCGTCCTTGCGTGCGTCCGTGCACATTTGTTTTTCCGGAGCAGAACTCTAAAACCGTTAAATATTTCTTCACCAAACTTGGCACATAGATAGATCTGGAAGGGTACTGGTGCCTTTTGGTAGTTTTGGAATTCTGAATAAAATATTTTTGGTTTTTCCGTGGCAACAAGTTTGACTTAGCCTGAAATTGGTGGTAGTGCTCTTTTCCGGAGCAGAACTCTAAAACCATTCAATGTTTCTTCACCAAACTTGGCACATAGATAGATCTGGTGGTCTACAGGTGCCTCTTGGTAGTTTTGGATTTCTGAATAAAATATTTTTGGTTTTTCCATGGCAACAAGTTTGACTTAGACTGAAATTGGTGGTAGTACTCTTTTCTGGAGCAGAACTTTGAAACTGTTCACTGTTTCATCACCAAATTTCATACAAAGGTAGGTCTAGTGGTCTACTGGTGCCTTTTTTGCTAGTTTTGGATTTCTGAATAAAAAATTTTAAAAATTGTGTTTCCATGGCAACAATTTTGGCTTCAACTGAACTTGGTGGTAGTGCTCCTTTCTGGAGCAAAACTTTGAAACCTTTCAGTACTCTCCTTCCACTTAGCTATATACACGCCAACACATTTGACATAGTCATAACTCCTAGACATATTCATGATGAGTATTTTGCCATTGCAGGGGAATATTGATGACTTTGTCTTCTTGTTAAACTCCTAATGTCATGAATGTTACTTTGCAGCAAGTTGCTGAACCAGACAGAACAGGATTTGATAGATGAACGGACAATCAACAAGACGAACCTCACTGTGTTCAGGAAACATGAGAACCTTACTCTAGCCTTAAACTCTGCCCAGTCCATCGGCTGCAGCATTGTCAACATTGGAGGAGAGGACATCGAGAAGGGGACCATTCACCTGGTCCTTGGCCTTATCTGGCAGATTATCAGGGTGAGGTGGACTGACTGCTTGTCTTGGTTGGTAGCTCTGATTGAAATAATTTTCCAATCAACCAGACAGTCGGGCAGGTGGCCAATAAATGTTGCGTGTCCGTCTTGAAAGTTGCCTGCCCGCATTCTTAACTGATAAATTACGTTTTTCTACAAAAACGAACAAGTATCATTAGAAACCAATCTTTATCCAATGAAATCGCTTCTTACAAATGTGAAAATGCTCCCGGCAAGGTTAAGGTGATGTTACTGATGTTAAAAGCTTTCGAACGATGCGCGCCTCAAATGTATATCTTCTCGCTTGTTATTCACATGAAGCTTCCAAAAGGGAGATATTTAAAAATATCAGCCAGACAATTGGGCTGGTGGAGATGTTTTTCAGGCAGCCCGACACGAAAGTTGCCAGTCTCGGGCAGGCTGTTATTTTGATCACTGGTTGGTAGGGGCAGTGGGGTAGCCTTGTGGTTAAAGTATTTGTTCTTCATGCCTGGGTTTTATTACCCACATGAGTACAATGTATGAAGGCCATTTCTGTGCCCCCAGCCGTGATATTGCTGGAATATTGCTAAAAGCGGCGTAAGACAACACTCACTCACTCTTGACTGGTAGTGGTGGAATGATACAGTAGTGTATCACGATACAAGGTCCCCAATAACATACGTACCCTTGTATCATTTAAATATTCATTCTTGGTAGATAAAAGGATTATTTGTCTGTTTTGTTATATTCAAGTTATGGTTGATGTAACTTTGAGTCTGAATGGCTCTATACTGAGTGAGTGAGTGAGTGAGTTAATATTTAACTTCACATCGGCAATATCTCAGCCACATCGTGACGAAAACAATTTATACAGTAAAAAGTGAAGACACTATACCAAGCCTCGACTGTAGATAGTATGTGAATGAGATGAATTACATTAAAAAATTAGAAACACATGAGACCCGTGTGGGTCCGGGTTAGAATGAGCCTTCAGTAACCCATGCTTGTCATAAGAGGCGACTAACGGGATCGGGTGGTCAGGTTCACTTACTTGGTTGACACATGTCATTGGTTCCCAATTGTGCAGATCAATGCTCATGCTGTTGATCACTAGATTGTCTGGTCCAGACTCGATTATTTACAGACCGCAGCCATATAGCTGGTATATTGCTGAGTGCGGCGTAAAACTAAACTCACTCACTCACTAGAAACACATGAGTAACATATGATTAATTTTGTTGTAGATTGGTCTGTTGTCGGATATTGATCTGACGCATCATCCTGGGCTGGTTGCTTTGTTAAATGAAGGCGAGGATATTGGGGACCTCAAGAGTTTGTCCCCCGAGGCCCTGCTTCTCCGCTGGGTCAACTACCACTTGAGGCAATCAGGAAGCAGCAGACAAATCAATAACTTCAATGAAGACATCAAGGTATGTATGGGACACACTCAGTATCTAAGCTTTTCATACAGGTGAATCCCATCTTCCAATTGTGTCTAAGCCTGTTTTGAAACATACTAAACCATATGGTGAATATCTTTTTCAAAGATCATAGGAAGCTAATTATGTGCAGTCATCGAGCATTGTGTAAAGTTTCCCTGCTCCCCAACCTCACAACATGACAACCCCAAAACACCACACAAACACACCTATCCTTTCCTAAGGTGAGGTGAGGTGAAATTGGGTTTAACGTTGTGCTTGAGAATATTTCGCTCATATGACAACGTGCATGCGTGTGTATGTGTATGTGCGGCTGCTTGTACTAGCCCAGACTTAAGCTGGTTCTATAGTGCTAGCCCACTAAGATACCATGCCGCAGTGAAGCATGAATACCCCACTCAGACACATTATACTGACTCAGAGCCGACCAGTCCTTGTTGTACCCATTAATGCCGAGCGCCAGGCAGGGACCAATAAGGACCATATTTTAACATCTTTTGGTATGACGCGGTCGGGGATTGAACCCCCGACCTTCCGCTCTCCAGGCGGACGCTCTAACCACTACACCACGGAGGCGGTCATAAGGGATTTGAACCCACCCTCTCAGAGTCAGGCACAAATGAAGTCGAACAACTGGTAGTCTAGATCAGGTACTTTGAGACAAAAGTATGCAAAATAAGTTTCCAAATTTAGCTAGCCTGTCGAGCCAGGGGGTGGGGGTAGTCTAGTGGTTAAATCGTCGCTAATCATGCCAAAGCCACGGGTTCACAGGTACAATGTGTGAAGCCTATTTCTGGTGTTCCTCCGCCTTGATATTGCTGAAATATTGCTAAAAGTGGCGTAAAACTAAACTCACTCACTATCCTTTCCTAAATGCTGTATTATCCCTAGTAACAGACAATTCTACACTGACTGTATACTGTTCTATACTAAGATGCTTTATTTCATACTTCAGGACTCTGAAGCTTACAGCTACCTTCTAACACAGATTGCCCCAGAGAATTCAGGTGTCACGTTAGCACCCATGCAGGTGAGTCAACACCAGGTGTCAAATCGGTGTGTCGTCTAGGATTATGTTCACTGGTAAGCTAGACCTAAATCATACTATATTTCAAGTACCCGTGAAGATTGATCTTCAGTAACCCATGCTTGTAAGAGGCGACTAACAGAATCGGCCGGTCAAGCTCATTGACACAACATTGTATCCCAGTTGTGTAGATCGATGCTCATGCTGTTGATCACTGGATTGTCTTGTCCATACTCGATTATTTACAGTCGTCTGCCATGTAGCTGGAATATTGCTGAGTGCGGCATAAAACTAAACTCACTCTCTGCTATATTGCAAGTGAAATATTATGTTCCCCTTGGGCTGGCTAGAAAGATAAGATACTTGAAAATATTGTCAATAGGAGGAAGTATTTACAAATTCATCGATGACATTATACATAAACTGTTGTGAAGTAATTCTTATAATTAAATCACACAGTACCAAAGTATGATTGAAAAATCCTGAAATATGAACATTTTACCCTTAAAACGCCCTAAATTTGTTCAAACCTTCAAAGGCCATAATTGCTAGTGATTTGCCCTGGAAAGGCCATACATTTAGCAAAACACATTAAGTTGTGATATTACAAGAAACCCATACAACAAACAAAGCCAGACAAAATGTGTTAACTAATCTCTGTCATAAAACAACTTTCACGGAGCAGGTATGTAGATAATGAGTTACTTCCCTTTGATGGTCAGTGCCATTTTTTACCCACCTTGTGTGTTTATTAGACGAACACTTTGCCTCTGAATAAATATGATTTTATATGATTTTGATAGAAACAAACTATCTCTTTTAATTGAAAAGGAGCCGGAGTAAGAAAGGAGATTCAGAACCTGAGGAATCTAGACTTGCTTCATTTATGGCTTTAGCATTGCAGGGAGGGCTGGGCTGTAGGGAAAATGATGCGGTTCAGTGACTGTTAGACAGACTAATGTTTTATGTGCATTTCTATAGGGCCTTAAGATTATTGGTGAGGCCCTAAACAGGTTTGATGGCTGATATTCTGTACGAATACTGTGCAAAATGTGTCACCACTCAACACTGAAGAGAAATATGTTGATTTCTTTCAGACTCTGTAGGCTTTCATCAATAATCAATTTATAGTTAGGTAACAGTTATTGATCTAAAGGATCCACATGACAACAGTCTGTAAATATTCAAGTCTGTACCAGACAATTCAGTGATTGCCATCATGAGCATCGATTTACACAATTGCGATACTTTGACATGTGTCAACCAAGTCAGCGAGCCTGACCACCAAATCCTGTCAGTTGCCTCTTACGACAAGCATGGGTTACTGAAGACCAATTCTAACCCAGATCTTCATGGATAACATTTCGTGTAGTTGAAATGGTCATCTAAATTTGTCATGGATGGAAAGAACAGAAAAAACGGATAATTGTTTAAGAAATGACCTTTCATAATTGTTTTGTAAAATTTCTTTCTACCATGCCATGTTTTCTTTTCAATTTCCCTTTGAAGCATTATAGTAGAAATGTGTCTATCTTCATTTTACAGGCAGATGATCTAACTGAGCGGGCTGAAGGTGTTTTGAGGGAATCGGACAAAATTGGCTGTCGTAGTTTTGTTACAGCAAGGGACATTGTCACTGGAAATCCCAAGCTAAATTTAGCCTATGTTGCCAACTTGTTCAACCAATATCCTTCACTGGATTCGACAGGGAGAGATATTGATTTGGGAGATGTACACGAAGAAACTAGAGAGGAAAAGAGTGAGTTCATGCTTCAGAATGTTGTCACTCCAGGGATTTGTTGAGACCTTATATAAGGCTGGGAGGGAAGGATTATGGCCTTTTGCTGTACACTTTCACTTAAAAACTATGGTAGATTGGGTAGCCTTGTGGTTAAAGCATTCACTCATCACGCCGAAGACCCGGTTCGATTCCACATCCACACATGGGTACAATGTGTGAAGCCCATTTCTGGTATCCCCCACCGTGATATTGCTGGAATATTGCTAAAAGCGTCATAAAACTAAACTCACTCACTCATTTAAAACTATGGTTATAAAAAGTAAGATTAGTTTGTTATGTTGTATTTTCAATTAGTAAATTTCATGTATTCCTGCCAGCAGTAGTCGTTCCGGACACTCTATGAAAGGCCCTTCAGATCACTGATGTGTATGTGGTCTAGTATTTATTGTGATGTCTGTCGTATATTTACTACCCGAAAAAGTTGAATTTTTTCTCAATGTGTCAATCTAGATTTGAGGCTTTGTGCCTGGTGCTATGTGACGGTTGTTATGTATTAACTGTTTTATATTTCAGCATATCGTAACTGGATGAACAGCCTTGGCGTCACACCCTTTGTCAACTACCTGTACAATGACCTGGGAAATGGTCTCGTTATTTTCAAACTGTATGAAAAAATCAGACCAAACTTGGTAAACTGGAATAAAGTAATAAACCAATTCAACAAAATGAAGATCAACTTCGAGAAACTAGGTAAGAAGTTATATCTCAATGGACAACAATATTATCACATCTTGTAGGGTTAGTGGGGTAGTCTAGTGGTACAAATGTTGCTCGTGAAAAATGTGGCATTTAACAAACTACTCAACAAATCCTTTACCTCTAATAGAAAGTAAAATATCCTGTATTTTGGTAGTATGAGTATCTTGACAACTAGTTTTGTTTACTTGTCTGTGAAGAGGACCTCTGTTGGAAATTCTGAAGATTAGGTTTGTGATGACATTCTTATACAGGATTTATGGCAATGATGTATTAGAAGTATTCTTATCATTATCAACAATGATGACTATTGCTTCCGTGGGGTTTCACTTCAAGTTTGTCATGTCATGTACGTCAACATTTAACAGGATGTGGCACTATTCTTTTTCAGAAAACTGTAATTATGCAGTAAGCCTTGCTAAGGAGATCCATCTGTCCGTTGTCAACATAGGAGGAGAGGATATTCGTGAAGGAAATCCGACAATCACATTGGGTAGATATGCTGTTATATTACAGGGGAGGTAGGGTAGCCTTATGGTTAATGCATCTGCTTGTCACGCTGAAGACCCGGGTTCTATTCCCCACATGGGTACAATGTGTGAAGCCTATTTCTGGTGTCCTAAAGATTTTCAGTCTCAGACTTAAGTCTTGTGTATCAATGATGATTTTGGTCATTGCTTAAAATATAAATACTGAAACATCCACTGTGTAGACACATTGCAGACATCTCATGGCCTTAAAGTTATGGACCACTGAATACAGTTGTTAACATTTGTTGGGTGATGATCCGGGTTCGAATTGGTCTTCTGCAGCCCATGCTTGCCGTGAGAGGCAACTAACAGGATTGGGTGGCCCCACTCGCTGACTGTATAGATCAAAGTCCTAACTGTATAGATCAAAGTTCATTATCTGAATCCCTGGATTGTCTGCTTCAGACTCGATTATGCACAGACGCTATATAGCCTGAAATATTGCTGAATGCAGTATTAAACAACAAACAATCAGAACAAATGTTGTGTATGATTTCTCACCTTCATCTATGTTGCGTGTTTGTGCAGCACTGGTGTGGCAGTTGATGCGAGCGTACACCCTGAAGATGCTCACTGGACTGGCTGACGACGACAAGCCGATGCCCGATCAAGACATTGTGACATGGGCAAACCAGAGGGTAAGGGGGTGGTGGGGTAGGCTAGTGGTTAAAGTGTTCACTCGTCATGCCGAAGACACAGGTTTGATTCCCCCACATGGGTACAATGTGTGAAGCCCTTTTCTGGTGTCCCCCGCCGTGGTATTGTTGGAATATTGCTAAAAGCGGCGTAAAACCATATTCACTTACTCACAGGGTGAGGAGTGTTTAATACTGTGACTGCGTATGGTACTTTTTGTTATCTGTCCTGTGCACAGCAATGGGGATGGGGCAAGGTCTATTCAGCTCAGTCAGTGCACTGCGTTTGAGTATGTCAGTCATGTTAAACTGCCAAGGCATCTCTAGATCTGTTACGCCATGGTATGTACGCTGCTATATAACAAGGAATGTGATGTTAGACCCAATGTCACCTTTACCTTGTAGTCACCTGAATGACCAGCAGTTTGTGTTATGTCTTGATGTTTGAGACTACTTAGACAGTGGGGTAACTTCATGGTTTAAGTGTCCACTTCTCATGCAAAAGACCCAGGTTCAACTCCTCACATGGGGCAGTGGGGTAACCTCATGATTATAGTGTTCACTTGTTACACTGAAGATCCAGGTTTGATTCCCACATGGGTACAATGTGTGAAGCCCATTTCTGGTGTTCCCAGCTGGGATACTTTGTAAATATTGCTAAAAGCGGCGTAAAACCATTCTCACTCATTGGAGACTGTACATGACCAATTATGATGATGTTTCAGTTGGAAGGCACTCACAAGATCAAGAGCTTCAGTGACCCAGCCATCCAGGACGGGGTCGTGATACTGACTATAATTGACAAGATCAGGCCGGGAGTCGTCAACTGGGACCTGGTGAGCCAGGCGGAGACTGAGGAAATGGTAGGTGGCCAATCGTTGAAACTGTTGCAGACATTCAGTCCAACTCTTATGTGATGTCATGATCTTTTGCCATATAGGGGTTGACCCGTGAAGATCCGGGTTAGAATTTATCTTCAGTAACCCATGCTTGTAAGAGGTGACTAAGGCTCGCTGACTTGGTTGACACATGTCATCGGTTCCCAGTTGTGGAGATCGATGCTCATGCTGTTGATCACTGGGTTGTCTGGTCCAGACTCGATTATTTACAGACCACCTCCATATAGCTGGAATATTGCTGGGTGGCGTAAAACCTAACTCACTCACTCACTATTATAGGGATTGATGGGGTAGCCTTGTGGCTAAAGTGTTTGCTTGTCATGCCAAAGACCCGCGTTCAATTCCCCACACATGTACTATGTGAGAGGACGTGATATTGCCAGAATATTGCTATAAGCGCCATAAAACTAAACTTACTCTTTTATTATATCCCAACGGCATGTGACCATTGTTTACAAAATCAATCACAGGATTGTCTGGTCCAGACATGATTATTTACCGGCCATTTCTTGGTGTGGCCAAGACATACATGCCAAACAGTGAAAAAGTCTCAAATTAATAATCTCCCATGCAAGGATAGGAGTCTCTAAATTTTGTTTTTGGGATTTGTATTTCTCAAATGTTCAGATACTTTAATATGCAATACATATTTGTCCTTTTGAAGAGTATGCAACATGAATCTTCCATTTCATATACATGCTGTATTGATGCCAAAAGATGTCGGATTAATCTCACATCCAAACATCATCCACTTTTCAGAGATGCCTGAACAACGCTAAATATGCTATCTCACTAGCAAGGAAGATCGGTGCACGGGTGTACGCCCTGCCAGAGGATATTGTAGAGGGGAAGAAAAACATGGTGATGACAGTGTTTGCTTGCCTTATGACCATCGACAACCCCTACAAGCGAGAGAGGGAGCAGGCCAAGTTGAATGATGCTGCCAAGCCAATGATGCAGGGCTTACAGTGATCTACACCATGTGTCAAGGGGGGAGGGGCACTGCATGGGAGAGATCTCCACACCAGAATAGATGGTGTCAGATGTTTCATTTACACCAAGATATCTTGCACAAAATCTATGATTTTCACCTTTGCAAATTTTCAAAGACCCGTGAGTTTGATGTTGATAGGGAACACTTTTCGGGTTAAGCTTTTGGATTTTATGAAAACATGTTTCCAATGGTGGATTGCGTAAGGCTGGTTGGGTCCTCTCTGTCATGCAGTGCAGGGGTCATTGTTGCCAGGATGAACTTGCTAGTAGACCAATATATAACTATAATTCCAAGTATTGTGTACAGGTATCATAGCCCATCTTTGTTTCTCTGTGTATTGCATATCACTATTGCATAATTCGCATCCTTTTGTTGGCAAAAACAAGAGCAAAATAATTTATTGATGTGCTTTTTCAATAGAATGAAACAAATGTCTTGTGTAGATTCATGCGTCAACACCTAAACTTGACCTGCTTTTGGCTTTTGAGAAATCGACCTCAAAGCTGTGTCCACTTGAGGCTAAACCCATGCAAGTGCCTGTGATATAGCAACATCAAGACTTGCGACAGAAGTTGTTATAGAATTTTGTCTCAAGGCTGTTTCAACATATTTGCCTAAAATTACCTGCATACAAGTATGAACCCATAGTGATTCATATTTTAATACATGTTAGAGGCTGAGCTTTTACTTTTAACTGTTTTGTTTCTTGGATTTTTATCCCAAAATCAAATAACAATAGTTGGTGGAGCTTCTTTTCCTGGTCCAAAGTCATCCTGTACTATTCGTGCTGCCTTAGATGTGCAGAAAACCAAGATTGAAAAAGCGGATATATCAAAGTTATATATAAGTTACAGCCCTCTCTAAAGTATTATGATATTTCTGGTTGTCAAATGCATCATTTTTACCCCACTTCAGGCTTCATCTAGTTACCCTATTCTAAATAAAGGGCAGCTAACTCTAAAACAAAGGTACCAGCTGGACAGGACGCTGGGTTCTTCTTGTCTCTGTGCAGGCTGTAGGTAGGGGCATGATGATGACCTTGTCAATAAACCATTTATTATGTTGTGTCATTTTAGGCCGAACAAAACACCAGAACTGTAATATGAATTTAATGGGCCAAATGTTGGAAAATGATGATTTTTATGGTTGTATATTTTAATATTAAGTTTTCATTTCTCATCAGTTTAAAGCCAGAGGCTACTTTTTAAAGTGGAGATGTATTATTTTTATGAAGTGACATTTATTATGATAGTATGTGTATGTTTGGTTGCCATTTTAGAGGTCACAGGTCGATGTATATGTTTATGCAGGAATTTTATCTGAGCTTAAATCATGTTTGTTGAAAAAGGTTGAATAGTTTCAGCAATGAACTGAAAAAGGAAAAGTAGTGTCGGATCAAAGTTTGTACAACAGCTTATGTATTGTTTTAGGGTAAATAGTCATGTGTACATTATTTTCAATTGTTGATGATTCCCTGCCATTGTTAATGCTTAATGGATGCACCAGTAACCAAGCTTGTATTGTCAAGATTCTTTTCAGAAATGCCAATGATCAGCAATACTAACATTCTGCAAATCCATTTCGTGCTTTAATTGTTTCAACATGGATATTGTTAGAGTTCTCTGTTGCTAACGATCATGTGTTGATAACGATGCCTTGTTGTAGTGATCTGCCTGGTAGTGAAGCATCAAGCAATACATATTTGTATGTAGGAATGCAGTGTTAAGCAGGACTAATCATCAGTGAAGACGTAGCCTTTTCTATGCAGAGTGATATGGTAGGGTTGTTGCCATGGATACAGGGGCCGTTTATTACTTGTACAGGATGATGAACAATATTTTCCTTTTGTGGATTTTGTTTTGCACTAACTCATGCAACCATGATCTGATATTTTGCTAAAGGACAAATATTGTTCACTATATATCATGTCAGAGCTTTGATCAGAGCAGATTTATGTATTCATTTTAATTTGTTACATAACCAGGCTCTTGTTTTAGTAACTACTGCAAGAGAAAGATTAGGATGCATTAGTTGTGTTTCCATGGTTACATATATTATGTTTAATGACAGAGGTATGAAGTCATCCTCGGGATTTGTAGAATTCCGAAATTGGGACCAGTGGATGTCAGGTGTGATCCAGATTTTAAAGAGACCATTTTACAACAGAACTTTTATTTATTGCCATTTTATAATGAAATTGATTTCTTTGTAATGCTTCTGCAAAATAATTGTGATAATTGACATCAGTTGAGTGTTCTAAGAACTACTTAAGAATAAAGTCAAAGTTATTTTGTTGAACTGACAACACGTTTCTGGCCATTCTATTTGCCTCCCAGCTGTTTACTATGTGTTGGTCCTCATGCATGGGCTAACCTCCAAATCGCGTCACTTGATCCAGACTGTTCGGTGACTGTACATCATGGTTTCTTAATAAAATTAATAAAGATTAGCTGTGGTTGGTGATCCTTTCCTGATGGCGACAACCCTGTCATCCTTGGACCGCCTCCCTGGTGTAGTGGTTAGAGCGTCCGCCCAGAGAGCGGAAGGTAGCGGGTTCGATCCCAGCCGCTTCATACCAAAAGACGTTAAAATATGGTACTTGTTGGTACCTGCCTGGCGATCGGTATTAATGGGTACAACAGGACTGGTAGGCTTGGAGTCAGTATAATGTGTCTGAGTGGGGTATTCATGTTTCACTGCGGCATGTCATCTCAGTTGGCTAGCACTATAAAACCAGCTTAAGTCTGGGCTAGTACAAGCAGCCGCACATACACATACACACACATGTGCGTCGTCATATGAGCGAAATATTCTCAAGCATGACGTTAAACCCAATTTCACCTCACCTCACCTGTCATCCTTGTACCCAAGCAAAGTGGATGACAATGTTCTGATTATGGGTGATCTCAAAACAACATACAGGAATTACAAGTGGAATGATGATAATTAGACAGATAGTGAAATATGTTGTCAAGACTAGCGTTGTGCATGAACAGGCTGTGAGGTGGCCCAGTAATCAGACGGAAGGCCAGAGTTCAAGTCCTCACTTGGATACAATTTTAGCCTGGTTTTTAGTCTCCTATTGTGAATTATCTGGATTATTTCTGAAAGTGGTGTAAAACTTCAGCACCACGGGCAGTGGGGTAGCCAAATGGTTAAAGCATCTGCAGCGTCACGCTGAAGATTCTCGCTCACTCGTACCATACCATACACCCGTTTTCCCAACCATATTTGTCTGCAATGCATCCTTGCAAGTCAGTCAGGGTGAACTCAGGATTGAAAATGCATTGAATGTCTTTGTCTTGTATACAAACACACACCTTTGTCTTGTACACAAACACACACCTTTGTCTTGTAAACAAAAACACACCTTTGTCTTGTATACAAACACACACCTTTGTCTTGTACACAAACACACACCTTTGTCTTGTACACAAACACACACCTTTGTCTTGTACACAAACACACACCTTTGCCTTGAAACGTCCCTGAAAATCCGCAACTTGAAAAGACCTCAAATTGCAAACTAATTACACATAAATTATTTGTAACTATTTATATACACAGAGACCATATACCGGTATGTGGTCTCTGACACAAAGAACAAATGTGCTTATGAATATCTACCAACTGGTGTGATGATGCTGTATGAATATAACCTGGGTTCGATTCCCCACAAGGGGAATTATTATTAATTAATATTGATACATGTATTATAAGTGGATTCGTTCATGACGGTTAACTTGGTAACAACACACTTCATGAGAAAGTTGACCCGTGAAGATCCGGGGTAGAATAGGTCTTCAGCAACCCATGTGCTTGCCATAAAAAGGCGACTATCTTGTCGTAAGAGGCGACTAACGGGATCGGGTGGTCAGTTTCGCTGACTTGGTTGACACATGTCATCGGTTCCCAATTGCGCAGATCAATGCTCATGCTGTTGATCACTGGATTGTCTGGTCCAGACTCGATTATTTCCAGACCGCCGCCATATAGCTGGAATATTGCTGAGTGCGGCGTAAAACTAAACTCACTCACTCACTCATGAGAAAGTTACTACACATGATGACCGTGGGCCTGAATCACTTACCACCATGTGACAACCAAGTTAATGGAAGTCAGTTTGAGGTTAATTGGTTGGTTTGTAGACTTCAAGCTATATCACTGTGGTCTGGACCAGACAATCCAGTAATCAACAGCATGAGCATCAATCTACACATTTGGGATACGATGACAGGTGTGAACCAAGTCAGCTAACCTGACCACCCCTTCCTGTTAGTGGACTCTTCACGACAAGCATGGGTTACTGAAGGCTATGAATTAAATAGGGATTAGGGTTAGGTAACCTAAACCCTGTCCACTGAAAAAAAGTGTCAGGAACGATCAGAATTCTTTCCCACAATCAACCAGGTTGTCAAACATCCATAGGCGGATCTAGGGTGTGTGTGTGTGCAGGGGTGTGCACGCAGGCACACACACACACTCTTGTCCTGAAAGTTTATTAAATGACCATTGAAACTCAGGTGAAAATGACCATTGAAACTCAGGTGAAAATGAAGTTTGCACACAAACACACACACACACACACACACCCTTCTCAAAAAGCTGTATCTGCCCCTGATGTCAACACCCACTCCATTCATCACCTTGTCAGGCATATTGGATTTGATTGGTTGGTTTGTTAAACGCCACACTCAGTAATAGTCCAGCTATATCTGTAAATAATCGAGTCTGGACCAGACAATCCAGTGACCAGACAAAACAGCATGAGCATCGATCTACACAAGTGGATATGATGACGTGTGTCAACCAAGTCAGCGAGTCTGCCCACCCGATATTGTTAGTTGCCTACAAGGGAATTCAGAAATCAATAAGCTGTATCAGGGATCTATCAAAACACATGGTTGGAGGAAAATATTTTACCCTTCTGGCAGTAAAAAACAAACAAATTGGACTAAAAAACTTCTGTTCCAGTGATCACTAATGTAAAGGGTGTTTCAGGGTTTATCTGGATGCTCGGAGGCTAGTATTTGTTGCAATTGCAAGTAAAATTATCCAAATATGTTAAAAAATTATTGCCAAGTTATGTTGTTAATTTATTCATATCCAATAATGAAATAAGGACTTTTAAGAAAGTCCCAGTCCTGAACAAAATAATGTTTTCTTCCCATTTTGAAGTCTTTGATATATCCCTGTTTTTTGTTTCACTCACAGAGCTGGAACAATCTCATCACAATATGTCTACCAGCTCAAGGTGCATCACAATTTCAGGAAATATGGATTCAAATGGGCCTTGCCATCCTGTTCTACCTAGTATAAAATTACCCTTTACAATTTATGTACATTTTTGGCTATCTTCCAGAACAGTTTTCATCCGTTTCTCTCCCATTTCTGCAGCGTTTCGCCATGATTGGAATGATAATCAAAGGGACATAACTCTTAAGCTTAAAAACAAACTATGTTTTAAGGGGCTTGTCTTTTCAAATACATGTAATACTGTTAAGGTTATAACTTGACATTTAATCTATGGACACTTCATAAAAAAAAAACCCAGTCTGTTCTCCAAACCTTTGGATAAAAATAACTTTTGCAATAATAATAGTTGAATTTCAATGCCAAAAGTCACAAGATGTCAAGGTTGTCCTTTGAACAGGGTATGGTTTCGTATGCAATGGTTCTTCTAATTTATCTAAGGGGTAATAATTCACATTACACTATCTGGCACTAGTCATGGATAATCTGTTTGCTTTGGAACTGCAACATAAGTTGGAATTGTATCAAGCAATGGAACTAATTAATGAATAATCAGATTTTCATTCCAACGTCATAATCTAACAACCCACCTCATATCAGCTGACCAAGTGAACTATATTCAGTGTATGAAATAAGGCCCGTTGAGACGGACGGTCTAGATTTACCGCTAGCCAGCCCGATGGTCAGGTAAAACAATGAGATGTTATATACATCTGAGCAGAGACCATATAATAGATATATCTATTATATGGTCTCTGATCTGAGTCATATCTTGGTGTCTGGTCTGGTTACATCCATTTTAGACTTTTAACATTTTGAAGTTACCAGCCCTGATGTCTGGCTGGGGATTTTCGCATATTGAGTTCTGCATATTTTAGGCTTTGCTCAAACATTATATTGACACTGTGATAAAACTAGAGTATTGTTCAAAATGGCACCAAATCCAACTCACTCAAAAAAAGGAAACAACTTGCTTCAGCTTAGACCTACCTAGAACATGTACAAGTATGTTTTCTACTACACATACTGTGATATTATCATGAAACAATCTAACAAAGCTAATATGTTTGTGACGAAGTTTAATAGCTACATGTACATTTTAGCATATGTTTAGTGTGAGGACATTTCCTCTTGATTGGACGAATCTCCTTGATGACCACCTACACACACAGCATGATGAACTCCTTCAAAAGTTACTATAAACATCAGTCCATTAGAAATTGTTTCAGTCATACTTTTCTTCACACTTGATCCAGGTATGCTGACTTGATCTTGCTACCTCACCCATGGGTCAACCCTGTTTTTTCTCATAACAAAGGCTATCTTTCTTTGCATCTCTGAATTGTATATCCTTTTACACCTCTCAAAACTCAGTCGGCGGCGAGCTTCTGTTGGCTTCTCATAATATTCTTTTCGTCGAACATTTTCGTAAAACTTTTCATTTCTCAGGATCCTGAAAAATCAAAGGAAAAGAAATATTAAATTACGCTAGTAATTGAAACTATCCTAGCCATTAGCATGTCTCTGACGTTCTGTACACACTCACAGCAGCCCAGGAGAAATGTATAGTTGCATAATCACATACTGTAAATCATGAAATTAATGCATCACAAATTTAATGCGAGTGCGAGGGTCTAGTCTAAAATGTGTCACGAAATTAATGCGAGCTCAGGAATCCGTGTCGATGATTAAATGTGACACCCTGAATCTCTGTTCATTTTTTCACACTTATTACCAAATAACCTGAATTCAGCTTGTTAAGCAATGAATGGAAATGAGCTGACGATGTTTTGATTATGCTGTCATGTTTGATCACGTGATTGCTTGCTGCTACTTGTCTTATGACAATATTTCTAAACATAATCTGACTTGAAAGACGCAAGTCATCTACCAAGGTACAGCAAACACGTGGCTGGAGAATGTCCGGTCTGGCTGATGTGCTTGAGTGACTTTAAACAATGACCAGTGATTGTAACCAGTGATAATTACATGTGACTTGAGATACCTGAAATGATGACGTGACCTGTATTGGTGTAATGTGTAGTGTCAACACTTCCGTTATTGTTACATAATTTGTCGATGAATAAGTTCAATTTGAGTCATGAAAATAGTCCTCTTTTGTCAATTAATTTATGAGAGATGTCTAAACTGTTGTTATATTCTGTATTGTTATGATGAATGCTAACCTGAAGACGATAAAGACGACAAGAGATTTACATTTTTCTTTTTTAAGTTGTCAAAAGTAGACATGGTCAGACTGAAATGCGTCATTATAATAATGCGAGAAGAGTACAGACACATTTTTCGCATTAATAAAATGCTCGCATTAATTTCATGATTTACAGTAATTACAAAATACTTGGGGTGCATCCTAATGGTTAAAATCATGGTTAAAGCATTCGCTCATATTGCATGTGTTTGATTACTTACGTGGGTAAAACATGTGAAGCCCATTTCTGGCGTCCACCAAGGTGATATTGGTTGAATATTGATAAGCTTAGCTGGCTGAACTAGGCAAAACCTTACTCACTCATAGTAACCATGTGTAGTTGTTCCCGTTCAACTGATTACGAGTGGTATTACATAGCAAAATATTCTTTACAGTGTATGCGCATTTCTTAAAAAAACTTAATCAAATGCATCTAATACAACAGCATGACAGTTCCGATCAAGAAAACGGCACAATGCGGAATGAACTCGTCCTAGGGTACATTTCTGTATTCTGATTTTGGCTGGGGTACGCATTTGTAGAGACGGTGATTTCGTAGACTGAACCAGTTCGTAGACTGAACCAGTTCATAGACGCGGTGGATTCGTAGTCCAGACTGGTTCGTAGATGGTGATTTCGTAGATGTGTATTAATAATTGACTAATAGTATATATTAAGTTTGATTTTTACTTAAATTGTGTATAACGAAGTTGTTATGCTTTGTTTTCAGTGATACGAAACTAAGGGCAGCTAAGGACAAGAAAAGTGTGATTGGAACTTGCTTCATTGACAACCCGACTGTTTTCATTGTTGTGGGTGGATTAACAGGTTTCACTGAGTTGTTGTGAATGTCATAATACCGAATTTCATCATCATTGAGGTTGAACTTTTCCCATTTCACTAACGTCTACGTATCCACCGCTCAATCCGCCTACGAATCCACCGGATTTCCACGTCTACGAACCAGTCTGGTCTACGAATTGCCATTCACCCTTCAGCTGCACTGTTCAAGCAAAGACTAATGGGAGAAATCCCAGGACCACATTCGCCCTTGAATTTACCTGCAACATTTTTGCAAAGAATCCGCAAATCCAATAACAAAATGAAACAGACAAAATAATTAATTCACATACCTGTTAAGAACCCCGTGAGCTTTGTCAATATCATTATTATTGACAAGAACCGTCCTTGCGAAGAACCGAATATGATTTCGCGACATGCTCGGAAGTGCTAGTTGTGAATACGGTTGTCGTTAACAATAATGTCGCACCGATGTGGTTATTTCACATGCTAGTAAAACTACAGTAAAAGTGGTGAACATTAAACACCTCGGCAATTGGATTCATATCCCCTGGATGGTTCACGTTTACGTAATATTGAATTAAATGGTTTACTCTTCCACCCCAACCAACTTGCCGTCTGACTGTCATTTCCTGTGCGCGAAACGAAAGCGAACACATGAAATTTTCGAACGGTATCATGTATTTTTAGTCGCAGCGAGGCATAACTTGAGAGGTAAATGTCATTTTAGAATTTTATTAATAACGAATACTGACAGGTTAATTTTGAATGAAAACTGAGACCCAGAATGAGCCAGATCTGTTCTTGCCATCAGTTTACCTGTTCGTTGTGCTTCACACTGCGTCTACTGGTTTAGACGAGTTTAACCTAGTATAACTAAGAACTTCTCTACAGTCCTTTGTAATAGATGTGTTATGGTTTGGGTAGGTTAACTCAAAGACGTATGTACGTCTTTGATTAACTAAACTATATCTTTAACCTTTGGTGCCTCTTTAGGTTGCATATCTAGATACACATTCACAAACTTTAGGAGGGGCATCCCTGTACATTGCTTTAGGCTAGTTGTGAGGTTGGGTATGGTTTAGCTACATATATCCCGGTGTCAGGGGTTTTCGACGATGTAAGACAAAAACGTATTTTTTATCTTAATGTCATGTATTTGGCTCGTCACACCGAAGACCCGGGTTCGAATCCCCACATGGGCACAATGTGTGAAGCCCATTTCTGGTGTCCCCCTGCCGTGATGTTGCTGGAATATTGCTAAAAGCGGCGTAAAACCAAACTCAGTCAGTCAGTCAGTAATGTCATGTGTAGTTTTTATTTTACTAACCTTGAGTGATAAAGGATATATTCATCTATTTCATGCAAAAAAAATAGTGTGGATGACATCGTATCGGCGAAACTGTTGCCGCTCTCCACATCTGGGTATTTTGTATGGGTTTTCGACGATGAGCCATTCTTTTCGCTCCGCACTGTGAGGGAGTGTTGTGATCACGTGGCTTCCTATTTATATATTGCCTGTGACTAGCAGACGACTGATCTTACTGAAATTTTGCTTGCTATATTTTTGTTATATAGGCAATTGATTTTGCATCTGATGTGGTATTAACAATCTCGGTAAGAGTTCCTCCCATTCCCCCATCCCAAATAATATTTATAAATATGCTAAATTTATTAACAAAACTTAAGACAACAATTACTAGAGAACTCACAAAATGACTAAAAGTCCAAAATTTAAGTTAGGGTTAGGTTTAGAATTAGGTTTAGGGTTGGGGGAACGGAAGGAACTCTTTCCACAATCTCAGGTAAATAATATTGATGTTTCTTTGCATTTTATATAACTTAACTTCTGGATTTCCATTGTCAATAAAACTTCTCATGACACCGACTGGACTCTCTCCCTACCGATGAAACTGCTTATGCACTCCGATTGCACACATACTCCCCCGATATAGCCAGAGCAATGTAATCGTCAAAATCACCAGAACATTGAATTCAGCTTGCTTTGGGATATATTAAGAAGTTGATATAGTGTTATTTTAGTCAAAATCTATACATTTTTTATCAAGTTTCTAGTTTCTCAGAGAAAATGGAATCGCTATAGGATATGTTCCCAACCCCAACCCTAACCCATTGAGTATCAGAGGAAAGGATTATTGGTGGAATAAAGTAAACATCATTACATGGTGGAGAATTAGTTACATAATTAGGTGGCGACCGTCTTGTATAATCGCACCGAGAAAATTACTACTATGCACATGCATCGTTACACAATCAGGTGCTGATACCTTGGTACACAAACACAAGTCTCATGTTCCCATGGTAAATTGGCTGCATGTTAACCTGACTTAGTTTCAAGCTGGCAAAATGACCTTGATCCTCAAATAAAATCATGTGTTTTGTTCGTCAAGCTGAAGAACTAGGTTTGATTCCCGACATGGTTAAAATGTGTTAAGCCCATTTCTGGTGTCCCCTACTGTGGTATTGCTGGAATATTGATATTCTTGCTTAACAACAACCACATCCAACTAACCAACAAGAGCTTTAAGATAAACTGCTTCAAGTTCCTGAAACTGAAACAAAGATCTTAGATGTGTGAAACTTTGGAATGCTCTACCACTGGAAATAAGAAATTGTTCAACAAAAGACTCTTTTCTAACTCATTCGAAGACTTATCTCTTTTCATTCATTCATTCATTCATTCATTCATTCATTCATTCATTCATTCACATCCACCAACTCAACATCACCTGATATATGTATAATTTTAATCTTCATTTGTGCCTTCAAGCCTGTGTATATGCCACTTACGACATGTACCCTGAGATTTCAGGGAGGAAATGAAGAGCATAAAAGTTTGTAGATTGCAATTGCTGTCACAGGTTCATGAATGTTTTTCTAAAATTTGTGCTGTGAAAAGTGTTTGAACCTGATGAAGGAAGTTATATTAGTCAATTTCCCAATGTTTGCAGCTGGCCGGAAATCTGCATTTTATCTGGCATAGAAAAGCATGTCTCTTACACAAAGAACACAAGTTACTTGATTTTCACCATCAATGAACCTTTTGAACAACTTTCAATGACTGTAGCAAATTAAAAAAATTGTTTAATTGTTTTCATAAATAACACTTTTAGATGCATTTTAGTGTCACATGCAGAATTTCCCTGTCTGTGATCAGGTTGTCACGCAAATGAGTGACCTCCTCTCACTTTGTTTTTAGGTAGTCACTTGTACATGTAACGGGGGAACGCCTCGTGTACACGTTACGTCCTCTACCATTGTCTACTGTTAGAATGATGGGCTTCTGTTAAACTGCCTGTTAATACTGCTTGTTTTCTTGGTTTTCAGGTTGTGATATAAAACCAAACTCAGTCAGTCAGTCAGTAATGTCATGTGTAGTTTTTATTTTACTAACCTTGAGTGATAAAGGATATATTCATCTATTTCATGCAAAAAAAATAGTGTGGATGACATCGTATCGGCGAAACTGTTGCCGCTCTCCACATCTGGGTATTTTGTATGGGTTTTCGACGATGAGCCATTCTTTTCGCTCCGCACTGTGAGGGAGTGTTGTGATCACGTGGCTTCCTATTTATATATTGCCTGTGACTAGCAGACGACTGATCTTACTGAAATTTTGCTTGCTATATTTTGTTATATAGGCAATTGATTTTGCATCTGATGTGGTATTAACAATCTCGGTAAGAGTTCCTCCCATTCCCCCATCCCAAATAATATTTATAAATATGCTAAATTTATTAACAAAACTTAAGACAACAATTACTAGAGAACTCACAAAATGACTAAAAGTCCAAAATTTAAGTTAGGGTTAGGTTTAGAATTAGGTTTAGGGTTGGGGGAACGGAAGGAACTCTTTCCACAATCTCAGGTAAATAATATTGATGTTTCTTTGCATTTTATATAACTTAACTTCTGGATTTCCATTGTCAATAAAACTTCTCATGACACCGACTGGACTCTCTCCCTACCGATGAAACTGCTTATGCACTCCGATTGCACACATACTCCCCCGATATATCCAGAGCAATGTAATCGTCAAAATCACCAGAACATTGAATTCAGCCCGCTTTGGGATATATTAAGAAGTTGATATAGTGTTATTTTAGTCAAAATCTATACATTTTTTATCGAGTTTCTAGTTTCTCAGAGAAAATGGAATCGCTATAGGATATGTTCCCAACCCCAACCCTAACCCATTGAGTATCAGAGGAAAGGATTATTGGTGGAATAAAGTAAACATCATTACATGGTGGAGAATTAGTTACATAATTAGGTGGCGAACGTCTTGTATAATCGCACCGAGAAAATTACTACTATGCACATGCATCGTTACACAATCAGGTGCTGATACCTTGGTACACAAACACAAGTCTCATGTTCCCATGGTAAATTGGCTGCATGTTAACCTGACTTAGTTTCAAGCTGGCAAAATGACCTTGATCCTCAAATAAAATCATGTGTTTCGTTCGTCAAGCTGAAGAACTAGGTTTGATTCCCGACATGGTTAAAATGTGTTAAGCCCATTTCTGGTGTCCCCTACTGTGGTATTGCTGGAATATTGATATTCTTGCTTAACAACAACCACATCCAACTAACCAACAAGAGCTTTAAGATAAACTGCTTCAAGTTCCTGAAACTGAAACAAAGATCTTAGATGTGTGAAACTTTGGAATGCTCTACCACTGGAAATAAGAAATTGTTCAACAAAAGACTCTTTTCTAACTCATTCGAAGACTTATCTCTTTTCATTCATTCATTCATTCATTCATTCATTCATTCATTCATTCATTCACATCCACCAACTCAACATCACCTGATATATGTATAATTTTAATCTTCATTTGTGCCTTCAAGCCTGTGTATATGCCACTTACGACATGTACCCTGAGATTTCAGGGAGGAAATGAAGAGCATAAAAGTTTGTAGATTGCAATTGCTGTCACAGGTTCATGAATGTTTTTCTAAAATTTGTGCTGTGAAAAGTGTTTGAACCTGATGAAGGAAGTTATATTAGTCAATTTCCCAATGTTTGCAGCTGGCCGGAAATCTGCATTTTATCTGGCATAGAAAAGCATGTCTCTTACACAAAGAACACAAGTTACTTGATTTTCACCATCAATGAACCTTTTGAACAACTTTCAATGACTGTAGCAAATTAAAAAAATTGTTTAATTGTTTTCATAAATAACACTTTTAGATGCATTTTAGTGTCACATGCAGAATTTCCCTGTCTGTGATCAGGTTGTCACGCAAATGAGTGACCTCCTCTCACTTTGTTTTAGGTAGTCACTTGTACATGTAACGGGGGAACGCCTCGTGTACACGTTACGTCCTCTACCATTGTCTACTGTTAGAATGATGGGCTTCTGTTAAACTGCCTGTTAATACTGCTTGTTTTCTTGGTTTTCAGGTTGTGATATTTGAACTGGTATATCTGAAGTCTTTGCCACAGAACACAAAATGTTTGGTGGTAATCAGAATAAAACAGGTGGTAAGAAAACATACTTACATTATACTTTTAGGCAAAAGTAGTAAATGATCATGTACATCATTGTTGACTGATGCTAGGGTACAACACTTCTGTAGAACAACACAGGAATATGCATGTGAAAGTAAGAATGTTTATAATTTTACCAGTATTGAGATATATTTACTATGGCTGTGTATTGGCAAATAAATTGTATTTTGATAGATATTGCGATGTATTCAGAGCTAAAGTGTTTGACAGTAAGTGACAGTGTACATGCAGATCATGTTTTGTACATACTAAGGCTGTAAAATAAATGTTATGGTTCTGCTAACAGCATTCTCAAATTAGGTTAAATCAAGTTGTATACTTTAATAATATTTTAACACGATTACAATAAACAACGTCTTTTGATGTGTGGTACTTCTGATCTGTAAACAGTTAAGTTTAACTAATGCTTACATTAGTTTTACATTCATTTTTTCATGCTACAAAATTGATCTGTTTGTAGTATTTTTGTCTTGATACCCTTTACAAAAGTGAGAAGAATGTCTAATGGTGTCTGATAAAGTGTCTAGTTTTGAAACAAGACCCTGATTTATGACATGAATTGTGAAGACTGTATGTTGTTTGCCATTATTTTTTGTAACTTAAATTGAAGGAAAACTAACACTGAGCTTCTTTCAGGGTTCACCTTTGGGGCTACTACTGAAGGAGGACCATCTGGTGGGTTTTCCTTTGGCACCCCAACAACAACATCCTCTGCAGCCCCAGTAGGTGGTTTCACCTTTGGTGCCCCAACAAGCACTCCAGTTGCAGGGGTGCGTTTGGAACTCCCCCATAACTTCTGCTGCAACAGGGGCAGGATTTTCATTTGGTGGAACCCCAACACAAGCACCTGCGCTGCTAATCCTGCTGGTGGATTTGCTTTTGGTGGCACTGGTGGACAGACGACTACAGCACCGGGTGGCTTCTCTTTTGGGGCTGCTCAGACTACAGCAGCAGCAGGAACAACACCTGCAGCTCCGGCTCCTGCTGGAGGGTTCAATTTTGGAGCAACAGCACCAACAGCACAAACTGCAGCAGCTCCCCCACAGACTGGAGGATTTGGTGTAGGAACACCTGCTAGTACAACACAATCTGCTAGTACTGCTGGAGGTTTTAGTTTTGGAGGTGCAACTGCAACACCAGGTGCAACAGCAGCGCCAACGACAGGGGGATTTAATTTGGGACAAACAGCCACCACAGCAACTTCTGGTTTCAGCTTCGGGAAACCCACAGCAGGTACGTTACTCTGATTCAGGGTTGGAAATAACTTTAAAGTTGCTAGTGTACTCCGGTACAGTGGCACATGTAAAATCACTTGCCCTGATAATTTATCCACTATACCGGACATTTTCTTGTTGATTTTTTAAATAAACAACATACTTAATATTGGAAAGTCAACTGGACACCGGTACAGTGTGATATACAAATTTGCTTGCCCGACAGAAAAAAACACTGGACTCGGGTCTCGGGCAATGGGTTATTTCCACCCCTGTGATTACAGCAGTCGTTTTTAGATAGATGATAAAAAATAATGACAGTTTTTGCCATTATGACCGTATGAATCTGTTTTCTCTGTCAGGGCGGTGGGGTAGCCTAGTGGTTTAAGTGTCCACTCATCACACTGAAGACCTGGGTTTGATTCCCCATATGGGTACAATGTGTAAAGCCCATTTTATTGTCCCCCACTGTGGTATTGCTGGAATATTTTAAGAGCGGCGTAAAATCATACTCTCTCACTCACTGTTTCCTTTGTATGTTTTAGTTGTACTGTCTATGGAAATGTCTTGTCTAGTTAAACCCTGTTGTAAACTGGTCCCAAATACCCTATGCTTGTCATGACAGACAAGTTAGGAGGATCACAGTGTGAGCACCTAACCCTTGTCACCCCTTTATAGATGCTTGGGGTCCTGGGGACATATTCTACAGTGGAATAATTTAGACCAACAATGGTGTAAGGGATGGAAATAGCACAAGTCTGGTGGAGTTTCTTAAATTTCAAAGATGTCCGAAGAGCTAGCAGAATTGCAAACATTTGGGGGGTAATTGCTATATGTTATCTGGGGCTAGTGTATGTTCATGGTTAATTTGCATCCCAGGATTGTGTGCTGATACAAAGGATACAATGTTTGTATTTCTTCCAGCTATATTGCTATGTTATCACTGTTGGGGCTAGTGAAAGTTCCTGGTTAATTTGTTTCCCAGGGTGTTTTGATACAAAGGATACAATGTTTGTGTTTCTTCCAGCTATATTGCTATGTTATCACTGTTGGGGCTAGTGAAAGTTCCTGGTTAATTTGTTTCCCAGGGTGTTTTGATACAAAGGATACAATGTTTGTGTTTCTTCCAGCTATATTGGTATGTTATCACTGTTGAGGCTAGTGAAAGTTCCTGGTTAATTTGTATCCCAGGGTGTTTTGATACAAAGGATACAATGTTTGTGTTTCTTCCAGCAATATTGGTATGTTATCACTGTTGGGGCTAGTGAAAGTTCCTGGTTAATTTGTTTCCCAGGGTGTTTTGATACAAAGGATACAATGTTTGTGTTTCTTCCAGCTATATTGCTATGTTATCACTGTTGGGGCTAGTGAAAGTTCCTGGTTAATTTGTTTCCCAGGGTGTTTTGATACAAAGGATACAATGTTTGTGTTTCTTCCAGCTATATTGCTATGTTATCACTGTTGAGGCTAGTTGAAGTTCCTGGTTAATTTGTTTCCCAGGGTGTTTTGATACAAAGGATACAATGTTTGTATTTCTTCCAGCTATATTCGTATGTTATCACTGTTGAGGCTAGTGAAAGTTCCTGGTTAATTTGTTTCCCAGAGGATGTTTTGATACAAAGGATACAATGTTTGTGTTTCTTCCAGCTTTATTGCTATGTTATCACTGTTGGGGCTAGTGAAAGTTCCTGGTTAATTTGTTTCCCAGGGTGTTTTGATACAAAGGATACAATGTTTGTGTTTCTTCCAGCTATATTGCTATGTTATCACTGTTGGGGCTAGTGAAAGTTCCTGGTTAATTTGTTTCCCAGGGTGTTTTGATACAAAGGATACAATGTTTGTATTTCTTCCAGCTATATTGCTATGTTATCACTGTTGGGGCTAGTGAAAGTTCCTGGTTAATTTGTTTCCATAAAAGTTTGTAGATTGCAATTGCTGTCACAGGTTCATGAATGTTTTTCTAAAATTTGTGCTGTGAAAAGTGTTTGAACCTGATGAAGGAAGTTATATTAGTAGTAGTATAGGGAATGGGGGTTCTGTGACAGGCCGATTAAGAGCGTCATTATATATCTATTCCGCTTCCAGCCCCCAGTATAAATTAACGATTTCGAGCAGAGACACCATTCGATGCACATCCCAGACCCCTATAGGAGCCTTAACATCTGTAGGGTACCATGAGTTTCGGCAACCCCAGGCGGGAACGAGGACTGCAATACGTCCCCAAGCCGCAGACGGTGCCACCAGTTCCCAGTGAATAGGGATTCTGTGACAGGCCGACTAAGAGTGTTATTATATACCAATTCCGCTTCGAGCAGAGACACCATTCAATGCACAGCCCAGGCCAACAGCTCAGTGGTTTATGGCGTGTGCCCGTGCAGCGAAGTCGTGGCGCCGTCGGCGGCGATCCACCGCTTGGTGTCCATGGGCGACAGCGACGTCTTGTTGAGGGTGATGCCGTAGATGTTGTGTTTGTCGCTTCTCAACGCATTCATTCGGTGTTTGAACGTCTTATTCTTGAACAGAGCTTGTTTGAAGAGGACGTGCTTGATGTGTTGTTTCACCACGTATTTCTTGACCCCTTTGCCTTTCGGATCTCACCCTTGTCAGCTTTCAAGATGGAGTACATCTTAGGCCTCAAGCCGACGATTCGGCGATGGGTGTGCCAGCGCAAGATCCTTCATCTTGCCAAGGACCTTTTGTTGATCGTGTTGTGTAGGGCATGGTCCTTGGGGTAATCGCTGGTGTCGTACAGGTGTATGTGTTTTGCCATGTCCTCATACACATCCTCGGTGTGTATATCTAGCAACAAGGAATCTGTGTCCGTGTACAGCAGCCCACATCGATCACCGTATTGCTTCTTGAGCCGGTTGTAGTAGAAATCATACATGAGATGTTTGGACAGGTCGAGAATGCTCATCCCGTACGAGACGGGTCGGTTGAGCTTGATGTGACTTTGTTCATGTGCAGCGCCGCCAAGTCGTTATCGAATAGCTTGCTTCGGTTGAAGGCCGGGCTAGCGATCAGTTTCCTGAGTTTTTCCTCCTGGTGTGATCGCACGAGTTTGACCGTCACCCGTTTTCTCAAGTTCTCCATCGTCTTACCAAACACCGAGTTGTTCATGAGCTTATACAAGTTCTTCTCGAAGTCACTGGTGGCCAGCTTTCGCAGGTCTGTGTTCATTCTGATGTAAGGCTCCATCCAAGGACTTTGGTCAAACTTCAGCACCCTATGAATTTTGGTCAGTTTCATACCCAACGATAGGTACAGCTGCAGGTTGCGATAGTGCACGACATACTTGGTCTTGTTCATCAAGTTCGGGACGAGTTTTTCCACCCGAGCCAGGGTGTTCTCACCCAACAAGTCCCGCTGATAGTCGGACATCCAGTCTCGGCAGACCATCAACCGTTCGGGGGCCAGCGGGTAGCTGTTGTGAGCAGCGTGCAATGCCTCGATACTCCAGATCCACTTCGAGGATGTAACCCTTCCCGAATCCGCGCGATGCTCGTGATATCGATCTCATCGTCCAACCACTCAAACCCACCCGTAGGGCAGAGACTGACTCATAGCCCAGCCGTACAGGTTGTTGGCGTCTAGGTAGAGGAGATGATTGGTGGGTTTGCTAGAGTCGTAGCCTTCCACGTACGTATTGTTGGCTTTTGCGTACCGTTTGGCGGCCATGGAAATCCCACCTCGTAAGCCTTTCTCGATGAACAGGTGCATGTCGTAATCCGTGAGCAATTCCAGCTTAACTCCGGGTTTTTCAGCAGCGCATCCCACGATAGACCGGGCTGGTGTAGTACCATGCAGGGTCGAGTTGATACTGTTTCAAACACGTCCTCCTAAACGTCTCAAACACATCGGCTAGCAGGAGCACGTCCGTTCTCAAGTACAGGTCGTGGTAGTCACCTAGATTCTTACATCCCAGTTTCTCCCACACGTTCTGCGAGTGGTCGTAATCGTCCTGGGAGATATGGGATTCAGTCAGGTTGCTGTAAAACCGGTCGATGGGAGGTAATCGGGTCTCATCGAACTTAGACCAATCATCCATGTACTCGTATGGGTACACACCCTTCCTCATCAGCAGGGGCGAAGTCACCGGCATTGGTGTATCGACCAGTGATGGGGAAGGTGTCATTGGCTTTGACCAAACTATCGAGCGATGACAGGAGGAACTGAGCACTGTCAATGAATCTCAGACCGTTGAGCGAGAACGAGATGTATTTTTCCATGTTGTTGGGGATGCACTTGATATCACCATCGACCTTTGAGATGGCCTGCATGATCAGGTGGGCATCGTACCCTCTCAGATTGTGGAAGACCACGGGGATGTTGATTGTTTTGGGGTTGATTCTAAGCTGGAGATTGCACGCGTTATGGGCGGCACCTCGGTACCGGCCGGTGATGTGGCAGTGATCTCTCACAACATCCCCATTCAACAGCCCCTGACATATGTGGCAATTCTCAGCACGCTTGTGAGCGACTTGGTCCTTCCGCGTCATGCGCATGGGGGCAGCGGTGTACAGCCTTTTCCTGATGATTTTCTCTTCCTGTTGCAAACACATCAGGAATCGCTCGCCGCGCCAGGACCTCGGTAGATGACTGGAGCATTCGTTTGCCCATCACATCGGACGATCACGTACCCGAACCCGCAGGCTTGGTGTTCTTGGGTTTTGCACGTAAAACTTTGCTCAGTGTTGGGCACGTCGTGGTCGACCTGTTTGATGAGGGCTTCGAAGTCTGCGTAGATCATGTAAGGCACAGGCATCTGATGTTTGTGGTTGGTGAATTTCAAGATGTTGTCGCCTTCCTTAGGCATGTCAATTCGGATCGCCGTCTCTCCTACACCTAGGCAATCCCCCTGGTGTGCTTGCAGCAGGTCGGCTCGCGTAAAACCGTGCAGACATCGTTCGCAGAAGTGTTTCTTTTCTCTGTGCATCGATTGATCGTGCAACAGCCGGCTCAGATTTTTTATTGCCGTGTAGTGATACTGGCCGCTTTTTCGATGAGGAATATATTGGTTTCACGCGACGGTTTTATCATCCACAGGGCTTATCCTATGCACGATGGTTTTTGTCGCCTTCGGTGGCGAACACATTGACGGCCACCTTGTTCTGCTTTTCGAATTGCGCCCAGTAGGAGATGGGTGTTAAGCGTTCTACACCCGTGAAGTCGAACCTGGATTCTTCGATCGATGGATAGCTGGAACGCCTGCCCGGATTACCCCTTGGTTCATGCGTAGCAGTTATGACCGCCACCACCGCACAGTAATCGTTAACATCATCGCCTTGGGGTTTGGGGTTAACGAGGGCCTTTTTAGCCTTGAAATGCTTGGGCACCGGTATGTGCGTCCCACCTTTGAGCGGCATGTAGTTCGCTATGTCGAGATAAATGGTGTTGATTTTGTCTACCACCCATCCAGAGCCCAGGTGGGTATATCTCTCCAACGACTCTTGTATTTTTTGCAACGATGCGTCGATGGAGGATTCAATCAATTCTGGTTGGGTCAGGGCTTCCTGTTTGCCTCTGAAATAAGGTGCAACGTACTCAGTACTGCCGTCCGTATTCTGTTTTTGGAGCTCCATTTTCATCGTTAGTTGGTACTTGATGCTTTTCAAGTCGCCTAGTTCTTCGCGGAGTTTACTAGCGATGGGGGGTTTGACTGTACCGGTATCGATATTGGAATCAACCGTCATTATCCAACCCCGAGATACTTACCCACGGCGCGCTCTCGTCTGCACAAATCTCAACTCGACTGGCCTGGTGTCTTCCAGCAAGGTGATCAGCTCGGCTCTTCTCATGCGAGAATAACCCTTCAATCCCCGTTCTTTAGCACGGAGTTTGAGGTCTCGCATGGTAGGGGGCTTGGTATATTTCATATCGAGCAAGGTGAGCAGTTGGGGTTTCCTAAGGCGGGAATAACCCGTCAGTCCACGACTTTTGGTGAGAGCTTTGAGTTCGACGACAGTAGTCATGGTGTATACCATATGCGGAGGCACATGTCTAATAGGGCGTTTTCAATGTGCAGATAATCCCGTCAGCCTTCAAAAAATATGAAGCGCCCCTTAAACTTTCGTCCTGAGCAGCCGGTTACGTTCGTTGAGGTAGTCTTTCTTCTTATCGTAAATAAGTTGGTTTCGAACTACGTCCCTTCCATGGTCTTTGCACAACCCATAATGTCCTTTGACCCCTATGCCGCATACTTTGCAAACATAATTGACATGACCCTTTCTCACACAGTGGGCATGCGAGTGGCAATATTCAGTCATACAGCGTTTGCCGCAGGTTGTGGGCTTGCCGAGCAATACCCATTTACAATAATGAGTTCCCACGGGCCACATGGTGTATACCTTATGCGGAGTCAAATGTCTAAATGAATGTTACTACATGTGAAAGGGGTCCGGGGGGTTTGGGGTTTGGGTGTTGCTGGGGAAACTGGTTTGCTATGCTTCCAGGTCTTGTGGATGACCTTCCAGAGTAATACGGCAGCTATCGAAACATAGGTCAACCTTTGGGCTGATTCTACCATCTCCCGCACCTTCTGGATACCCAGACGGGTGTCTTCTTGTTCCTCTTCTATTTCCTCCAGGACTTCATCATTGTCATCATCCTTGTCCAACCTCGACAGGATGTCAACCAACAAATTCGATGATGTATTCGCGGTTTGCTCCACATGAGTCTCGAGACTCCCCAGGCGATCGTAGAAGTCCTGGATGGTTGGTAACGTACTACCAGGTATTGTTACTTTCGAACTATCCCGAGTCACCTGTTGTGGTTCGTCGACCGGCAACGATACTTGTTGGTTGTCGCCTGGCAACGATACTTCTGGTTCTTCGATCGGATCTCTCCATATGTCGTAGAGTCTTGTGGACCCAATACCGAAGCGCTTTTTAACCTCATTTGCTGGGAGCACCCCTCGAAGGGAGCGTATTTCTTGGATCTTATCCGAAGGTAAATCTCTTTTTGGTGGCATGGTTGTTTTTTTCCTAGTCATATATATACCCATACTTCCTATATGCCTATATGGGAATCCCAATCCTCTCCTAGGAATCCCAATCCTCTCCCAGTAATCCCAATCCTCCCAGGAATCCCAATCCTCCCAAGGAATCCCAACCTTTCCCAGGAAACTCCTAGCAATGCTTATCAAATGCTTAGCAATACTTAGCAATACTTAGCAAATGCTTAGCAATGCTTAGCAATACTTAGCAATACTTAGCAAAACAAGCAAACTTCTAGGTTCTGTCTAGTGTACCCCCGTATGTCTAGTGTGCCCTAGATTCCCATATAGACAATATTTTGCGAATGTGGATATACTGCACAACCAAATGCCTCCCAAAAGACAACTATCGCAAGACCAGGTGGAGGAGATTCGCAAGATGCGTGGAAAAGTCCCAGCACAAGAAACTAGACAACGATTCGGCATCGGTTCCAATCGACTACGCAAAATATGGAATACAGCCCCTGGAGAGAAAGCGCCGACCCCCCGCACAGACGCAGCCACTAGTGAGACGTCTGCCGGCAGCGTATTGCCCGCTGCAGAGCCAACTGTGCTCCCCGTCCAGGACTTCTATGAATGCTTGGGGAGGCTCGTGTGGTGATGTGGTGTACATCGAACGATGTCTCTGCTTGAAAACGTAGAGGTGCATGGGTTGAACATCGAATGGTGTCTCTGCTTGAAAACGTAGAGGTGCATGGGCTGTGCATTGAATGGTGTCTCTGCTCGAAGCGGAATTGGTATATAATAACACTCTTAGTCGGCCTGTCACAGAATCCCTATTCACTGGGAACTGGTGGCACCGTCTGCGGCTTGGGGACGTATTGCAGTCCTCGTTCCCGCCTGGGGTTGCCGAAACTCATGGTACCCTACAGATGTTAAGGCTCCTATAGGGGTCTGGGATGTGCATCGAATGGTGTCTCTGCTCGAAATCGTTAATTTATACTGGGGGCTGGAAGCGGAATAGATATATAATGACGCTCTTAATCGGCCTGTCACAGAACCCCCATTCCCTATACTACTTTAGTCAATTTCCCAATACTGGTATATCTGAAGTCTTTGCCACAGAACACAAAATGTTTGGTGGTAATCAGAATAAAACAGGTGGTAAGAAAACATACTTACGTTTTACTTTTAGGCAAAAGTAGTAAATGATCATGTACATCATTTGTTGACTGATGCTAGGGTACAACACTTCTGTAGAACAACACAGGAATATGCATGTGAAAGTAAGAATGTTTATAATTTTACCTGTATTGAGATATATTTACTATGGCTGTGTATTGGCAAATAAATTGTATTTTGATAGATATTGCGATGTATTCAGAGCTAAAGTGTTTGACGGTAAGTGACAGTGTACATGCAGATCATGTTTTGTACATACTAAGGCTGTAAAATAAATGTTATGGTTCTGCTAACAGCATTCTCAAATTAGGTTAAGTCAAGTTGTATACAGTGTACTCTGTCAATACCGGCATCAGTCGGGACCAAATAAAAATGCCGGTTTTGACAGAGTGCCGGTTTAGCTAGGTCCGCTTATGACGCCTGCGCTAATTAAAATTATAAACTATTTTTCGCAATGTTATTGAAAACAACGATTCTTGTTTATGCTTCGGCAGCGGGTCTACAATAGCATTGTCAAAGAGCAAAGTAACGATGTTTCAAACATCGAGGAAATCATTAAATAAATTGAAATCAACAATAACATTCATAAAAGTTGTCAAACGTACATATAAAATTACTATTTCCATACTTTTGTGCGATCATGCAATGTAAGTCAAGTCACTGACAAGTTATACATCTCGGCTTTCACCGCCTCCGTCTTGACGCCCGGGCACGATGCTTAATGTGAAAATATATGCTTGAAGCATTTATGTCATAGGCCGTAACCTAGCACGATATGTCCAATATGTTCCATAATTTTTCGTTTGCGAGGACGGTATCCATTTCCATAATATGATTGGCTGCTTAGGTCACGTGTCTGATTTTGACCAATCACGAGCCTTATAAGCAGAGTGTAGTGAAAAAGCGTCGTTAGAAACCAATCTTTATCCAATAAAATCGCTTCTTACAAATGTGAAAATACTCTCGGCAAGAGTACAGTGATATTGTTGATGTTCAGAGCTTTGAACGATACCGCCATCAAGCGATTAAGCCTCTATGTAAGTGACACGTGCCACTCACTAATTAACAAGAAACTGATTGACACTTCCCGTTTCTGAATAATCTCGAGAGTCAAAACCCGCGAATCAACAAAATGTAAACACTTGCTTGTTTATACAGTCAAACTGCCCACTACATGTATTAATTACTCAGGGTAAGTGTTACGTACCACTCACTGATTAACAAGATACTGATTAACACTTCCCGTTTCTGAATAATCTCGAGTCACAGCGAATTGTGTTGTTACATCATTTGGACCTAATTGCATCAAAGGGTTACGCCGTCTTTCATGTGCCGGTTTTCACAGATTCATTTTCATAACAACTTGTTCGTTGGGACTGAAAAACAATGCCGATATCCTGAATAGACAGATGCCGATGTTTACAGAAGTTTCTAAATGATAATAACGTGCATTTCTGCCGGGACTGAAACTTTGTGCCGATGTAGACAGAGTGCCGGTGTTTACAGATGCCGGTATTGACAGAGTCCACTGTACTTTAATAATATTTTAACACGATTACAATAAACAACGTCTTTTGATGTGTGGTACTTCTGATCTGTAAACAGTTAAGTTTAACTAATGCTTACATTAGTTTTACATTCATTTTTTCATGCTACAAAATTGATCTGTTTGTAGTATTTTTGTCTTGATACCCTTTACAAAAGTGAGAAGAATGTCTAATGGTGTCTGATAAAGTGTCTAGTTTTGAAACAAGACCCTGATTTATGACATGAATTGTGAAGACTGTATGTTGTTTGCCATTATTTTTTGTAACTTAAATTGAAGGAAAACTAACACTGAGCTTCTTTCAGGGTTCACCTTTGGGGCTACTACTGAAGGAGGACCATCTGGTGGGTTTTCCTTTGGCACCCCAACAACAACATCCTCTGCAGCCCCAGTAGGTGGTTTCACCTTTGGTGCCCCAACAAGCACTCCAGTTGCAGGGGGTGCGTTTGGAACTCCCGCAACTTCTGCTGCAACAGGGGCAGGATTTTCATTTGGTGGAACCCCAACACAAGCACCTGCCGCTGCTAATCCTGCTGGTGGATTTGCTTTTGGTGGCACTGGTGGACAGACGACTACAGCACCGGGTGGCTTCTCTTTTGGGGCTGCTCAGACTACAGCAGCAGCAGGAACAACACCTGCAGCTCCGGCTCCTGCTGGAGGGTTCAATTTTGGAGCAACAGCACCAACAGCACAAACTGCAGCAGCTCCCCAACAGACTGGAGGATTCGGTGTAGGAACACCTGCTAGTACAACACAATCTGCTAGTACTGCTGGAGGTTTTAGTTTTGGAGGTGCAACTGCAACACCAGGTGCAACAACAGCGCCAACGACAGGGGGATTTAATTTGGGACAAACAGCCACCACAGCAACATCTGGTTTCAGCTTCGGGAAACCCACAGCAGGTACGTTACTCTGATTCAGGGTTGAAAATAACTTTAAAATTGCTAGTGTACTCCGGTACAGTGGCACATGTAAAATCACTTGCCCTGATAATTTTTCCACTATACCGGACGTTTTCTTGTTGATTTTTTAAATAAACAACATAATTAATAATGGAAAGTCAACTGGACACCGGTACAGTGTGATATACAAATTTGCTTGCCCGACAGAAAAAACACTGGACTTGGGCGTAGGGCAATGGGTTATTTCCACCCCTGTGATTACAGCAGTCGTTTTTAGATAGATGATAAAAAATAATGACAGTTTTTGCCATTATGACCGTATGAATCTGTTTTCTCTGTCAGGGCGGTGGGGTAGCCTAGTGGTTTAAGTGTCCACTCATCACACTGAAGACCTGGGTTTGATTCCCCATATGGGTACAATGTGTAAAGCCCATTTTATTGTCCCCCACTGTGGTATTGCTGGAATATTTTAAGAGCGGCGTAAAATCATACTCTCTCACTCACTGTTTCCTTTGTATGTTTTAGTTGTACTGTCTATGGAAATGTCTTGTCTAGTTAAACCCTGTTGTAAACTGGTCCCAAATACCCTATGCTTGTCATGACTGACAAGTTAGGAGGATCACAGTGTGAGCACCCAACCCTTGTCACCCCTTTATAGATGCTTGGGGTCCTGGGGACATATTCTACAGTGGAATAATTTAGACCAACAATGGTGTAAGGGATAGAAATAGCACAAGTCTGGTGGAGTTTCTTAAATTTCAAAGATGTCCGAAGAGCTAGCAGAATTGCAAACATTTGGGGGGTAATTGCTATATGTTATCTGGGGCTAGTGTATGTTCATGGTTAATTTGCATCCCAGGATTGTGTGCTGATACAAAGGATACAATGTTTGTGTTTCTTCCAGCTATATTGCTATGTTATCACTGTTGAGGCTAGTGAAAGTTCCTGGTTAATTTGTATCCCAGGGTGTTTTGATACAAAGGATACAATGTTTGTGTTTCTTCCAGCTATATTGCTATGTTATCACTGTTGAGGCTAGTGAAAGTTCCTGGTTAATTTGTATCCCAGGGTGTTTTGATACAAATGATACAATGTTTGTGTTTCTTCCAGCAATATTGGTATGTTATCACTGTTGGGGCTAGTGGAAGTTCCTGGTTAATTTCCATCCCGGAGTGTTTTGATACAAAGGATACAATGTTTGTGTTTCTTCCAGCTATATTGGTATGTTATCACTGTTGGGGCTAGTGAAAGTTCCTGGTTAATTTGTTTCCCAGGGTGTTTTGATACAAAGGATACAATGTTTGTATTTCTTCCAGCAATATTGCTATGTTATCACTGTTGGGGCTAGTGAAAGTTCCTGGTTAATTTGTTTCCCAGGGTGTTTTGATACAAAGGATACAATGTTTGTGTTTCTTCCAGCAATATTGGTATGTTATCACTGTTGGGGCTAGTGTATGTTCCAGGTTAATTTGTTTCCCAGGGTGTTTTGATACAAAGGATACAATGTTTGTGTTTCTTCCAGCTATAATGCTATGTTATCACTGTTGAGGCTAGTGAAAGTTCCTGGTTAATTTGTATCCCAGGGTGTTTTGATACAAAGGATACAATGTTTGTGTTTCTTCCAGTTGCAACTGGCATCCCAGCAGTAGGGACAACACCTGCTGCCACTGCAGCGGCAACTACAGCAGCTGCAACTGGGTTCGGTCTTGGAACAGGAGGGTTCACATTCGGTTCAACCGGTCCTTCAACAGCAGCAACTACAGCCCAGGCACCCAAGCCTACAGCTGTTGTAGGGAGTATTGGTACTGGGGCACTGGGTGCCGGACTTGGTGGAAGCTTCAACCTGACAGGAACTACGACAACAACTGCAGCAGCCAAACCGGCAACTACTGCTACTACAGGTTTGTTACTGTTTGACTTAGAATCGGTCTTTAGCAACCCATTTTTGTCGTAAGAGGCAACTAACAGGATCAGGTAGTCGGGTTCTCTGACTTGGTTGACACGTCATCGTATCCCAGTTGTGTAGATTGGTGCTCATGATGTTGGTCACTGGATTGTCTGGTTCAGACTCCATTATTCATTGATAGAGGCCATATGGCTGTAATATTGCTGAGTGCGACGTTAACCAACAAACGCAAAGTGATAGATCCCACTTTTATGTTAAACTATCTTTATTATGTTTAATTATGTTTCCCAGAGTGATAGTTCCTTGAATGAGAAATGTTTTATATATGACAGATTAAGTCATCACAAGTGTTATGTTTGTAGCCCCAGGTGGTTTCAATCTTAGTGGAGTTGGTCTAAAGCTGGGAACAGCAGCAGCAGCAACAACAGCTGCTTCAACTGGATTCAGCTTAGCAACACCTGCAACAGGGACTACTACAGGACTCACTCCTGGAGGACTCACTCCTGGAGGACTCACTACTGGAATACAGGTAACAGGTGCTTTATTACACGAACATGCACAGTCTGGGGACAGGTATTCCCAGTTCTAGCATCATAGAGTGAGTGAGTGACTGGCATTGATGCCGCAGTCCACAGTTATGAAGTGAGTGAGTGATTTGAAACATGAATGAATGAAGCATTGTTTTAAGCTGGCCTGGAAAAACTCTACTGGTCCACTGATATAGACAGTGGCAGCAATGTGCAGAGCAAAAAAGGAAGTCCTTTTGTCAAAGAGAGGTAATTATGTTTATGACTATGGTAAAAAAAACTTTGCTGATACTGAAATGTCAAAGTAAGCATGAATAGATTTATGAAGGAGAAATTTTTTGTAATAATTTGGGGGGTGGATTTTACCAGAATAAATGTGACTGATTACCTAACAGGCCAAAAATAGCACACACAAAATTTCCCAAACAGTATGTCTGTGAAAATGCGAGGGTACAGGCCATTGTGGCGATGCTTGGTGAGCAAGTTTACATTATGCAGAAATTGATAACGATATTATAAGTATTACAGGACAAAAGCAGCCTTCTTGGGTTTAAGAATGTATATTGTTATCCCCCACAACGCGTTATCAAAATGCACTCCGTCTGTGCGTCCGTGCACATTTGTCTTTTCCGGAGTAGAACTTTTAAACCGTTCAATATTTCTTCACCAAACTTGGCAGATAGTTAGGTCTGGTGGTAAACTGGTGCCTTTTGGTAGTTTTGGATTTCTGATTATAATATTTTTGGCGTTCCCATGGCAACAAGGTTGACTTTGACTGAAATTGGTGTTGTTGGAGTTTTCCGGAGCAGAACTTTAAAACTTTAAATATTTCTTCACCAAACTTGGCAGATAGTTAGGTCTGGTGGTGCTGGAATATTAGTAAGTGCGGTATTCAACAGATTAGCAAATAAATCTTCTTGTAATGATTTAAATCTTCAGGCAAAATGTAAGGAAAGTTTCCATATCCTTAACTGTAATTCACTTAGAAAATTATTTTCATGGGTGGTTTTGGTAGCCCTATGATTGAGGCGTTGCCTTGTCTTACCTTGACACACCATGTTTGATTCCCCACATAAGCACAATGGGTATAGCTCATCCTGTGAGTACATTGCTATGGCACGAATAGTTCTCTATGGTGTGTAAGACCGTACCTATTTGATACCAGGTTGATCCTAATTCAGTCAGTCTTGGTTCTGGAGGATATGGGAGGGGGTAGATTTATATGGCACTACAATTTGCTGCGTTTACGCTTTGCCAGAAACCTGTCATCTTGGATTCAAACCCAAGATTCAAGCCAGGGATTGGGAAAGGCAGGGGCCATGGGCCATTTTGCACATTAGAATAATAAATGGCCCATTAAAATTTTGAAGTTTACTATTGATACAAGGGCAGTGGCCCATTCTAAATTCAGAAAATGGCTAATAATCCTGAAAATGGCCCACTGTCAAAGTTCTCTATCCCCATCCCTGCAAGCTGATGTATTTTTGGTTTGTCAGCACCTTACTCATGAATGCAAGATGATAACATCGGAGACCCTTATCACTTCTGGGACAATTTGGGTTAACCTAGTCCTCAAAGCGTTCGCTTGTCACGCCAAAGACCCGCGATTGATTCCCCAAATGGGTACAAATGCGTGAAGCCCATTTTTGGCGTCCCTTCTTTGATGTTGCTGGAATATTGCTAAGCATTATAAAGCGATATTCATGTGTCACTGCAGGCTTACCTCCCTTATTCAGCTGACCTCCCGTAATATAACTGAAATACCTTACAGTTTCTACATGACATTCTGTCCACCAGGCAACTTCAACAACAGCCAGCACTGGTTTAAACCTGGCTCTGAAACTTGGGACGTCTACTGCAGCAACAACAGCACCAACAGGTTTTGGCCTTGGTTCCTTCGGCACAGCATCCACTACAGGACAGCCAGCTGCAAGGTAAGGCTCATGTTTCTGCTGTGTAGTAATCTCCTAATGAAGTGCAGGAGGCACAATTGGACATGTCTAGCAATGCTGTAAGGAGCTGCAATTCACTATGCAGAGTTCTGTCCCTTGGGCCTACCTGAAACCTCTGATTGTGAGTTCAAATATAGGCTATCAACCGCCTCCGTGGTGTAGTGGTTAGAGTGTCCGCCCGGACCGCGTCATACCAAAAGACGTTAAGATATGGTACTTGTTGGTCCCTGCCTGGCGTTCGGCATTAATGGGTACAACAAGGACCGGTCGGCTCGGAGTCAGTATAATGTGTCTGAGTGGGATATTCATGCTTCTCAGTGGGCTAGCACTATAAAACCAGCTTAAGTCTGGGCTGGTACAAGCAGCCGCACATACACATACATACGCATGCACGTCATCATATGAGCGAAATATTCTCAAGCATGACGTTAAACCCAATTTCACCTCACCTCAGATATAGGTTATCACTGACTGTTTTCTTGGCCAGTCAGTACAATGCCTGTGCTCAAGTGGCCCAGTCATCTCAGGTGCTGTGTTGTACACAGTTGTGTCCCTTGAGTATGCTCAAACACCTATGATTGTGGATTTGCATTACCATTCACCTTGGTTATGTTTCTTGGTCTGTCAGGGTGGTGGTTAAAGCGTTCGCTCATCACGCCAAAGACCCGGGTTGGATTCCCCACATGAGTACAATTTGAGCCCATTTCTGGTGTCCCCTGCCGTGATATTGCTGGAATATTCCAGAAAGCGGCATAGAACTAAACTCACTCACTCACTCTGTCAGCACCATACCCATTCTTGTGAGTGCATCCAATCTGGTAAATGTCAGATTTGGATCTCTTGACCTTCCTCCCATGTTAAGCTGACATGCTGTGGAATAGCTGAAATATTGTTTAAGTAGTATTCAAGTACTGTCAAAGAGAAACAGGGCAGTGGGGTAGTCTAATGGTTAAAGCGTTGGCTCGTCACGCCGAAGACCCGGGTTTGAATCCCCACATGGGTACAATGAGTGAAGCCCATTTCTGGTGTCCCCTGCCGTGATATTGCTGGAATATTGCTAAAAGCAGCGTAAAACCAAACTCAGTCAGTCAGTGAAGAGAAACACACTTTTACACACTTAATTTTGATCGATCTGATATATTGAACAGTTAATACCTGAAGAAGACTGTGAACTTGGTAAACATTTCTCCTAATGTTGGTATATATGTCATGGGATGGTCCTTAGTTCAGATTTTTTCCATGAAATCGTTGTGTCTGCAGTACCATCACGACAACAGCACTGAGTGCAGGGAAGCAGATGACATACAGGCAGCTGGAAGATAACATCAACAAGTGGACAGCAGAACTGGAGGACCAGGAGAAGATCTTCCTCCAGCAGGCCACACAGGTCAACGCCTGGGACCGACTTGTGATGGAGAACGGAGAGAAGGTGGGTCGGGATTCACTGGGTGTGATGGAGAATGGTGGGATGGGATTCACTGGGTGTGATGGAGAATGGTGGGATGGGATTCACTGGGTGTGATGGAGAATGGTGGGATGGGATTCACTGGGTGTGATGAAGAATGGTGGGAAGATGGGATTCACTGGGTGTGATGGAGAATGGTGGGGATGGGATTCACTGGGTGTGATGGAGAATGGTGGGTTGGGATTCACTGGGTGTGATGGAGAATGGTGGGTCAGGATTTACTGGGTGTGATGGAGAATGGTGGGTCAGGATTTACTGGGTGTGATGGAGAATGGTGGGATGGGATTCACTGGGTGTGATGGAGAATGGTGAGATGGGATTCACTGGGTGTGATGGAGAATGGTGGGAAGATGGGATTCACTGGGTGTGATGGAGAATGGTGGGAAGAACTGGGTGGGAGAATGGTGGGTGGGATTCACTGGGTGTGATGGAGAATGGTGGGATGGGATTCACTGGGTGTGATGGAGAATGGTGGGTCAGGATTCACTGGGTGTGATGGAGAATGGTGGATGGGATTCACTGGGTGTGATGGAGAATGGTGGGTTGGGATTCACTGGGTGTGATGGAGAATGGTGGTGGATGGGATTCACTGGTGTGATGGAGAATGGTGGAGAACTGGGTGTGATGGAGAATGGTGGGATGGGATTCACTGGGTGTGATGGAGAATGGTGGGATGGGATTCACTGGGTGTGATGGAGAATGGTGGGATGGGATTCACTGGGTGTGATGGAGAATGGTGGGATGGGATTCACTGGGTGTGATGGAGAATGGTGGGTGGGATTCACTGGGTGTGATGGGATTCACTGGTTGAGATGGTGGGGGTGGGATTCACTGGGTGTGATGGAGAATGGTGGGATGGGATTCACTGGGTGTGATGGAGAATGGTGGGATGGGATTCACTGGGTGTGATGGAGAATGGTGGGATGGGATTCACTGGGTGTGATGGAGAATGGTGGGATGGATTCACTGGGTGTGATGGAGAATGGTGGGATGGGATTCACTGGGTGTGATGGAGAATGGTGGGATGGGATTCACTGGGTGTGATGGAGAATGGTGGGTTGGGATTCACTGGGTGTGATGGAGAATGGTGGGATGGGATTCACTGGTGTGTGATGGAGAATGGTGGGATGGGATTCACTGGGTGTGATGGAGAATGGTGGAGAAGGTGGGTTGGGATTCACTGGGTGTGATGGAGAATGGTGGATGGGATTCACTGGGTGTGATGGAGAATGGTGGGATTCACTGGGTGGATGGAGAATGGTGGGTTGGGATTCACTGGATGTGGAGAATGGTGGGAGAATGGTGGGATGGGATTCACTGGATGTGATGGAGAATGGTGGGTTGGGATTCACTGGGTGTGATGGAGAATGGTGGGTTGGGATTCACTGGGTGTGTTGGAGAATGGTGGGAATTGGGTTGGGATTCACTGGGTGTGATGTAAAATGGTGGGAATTGGGTTGGGATTCACTGGGTGTGGTGAAGAGATGGATTCAGCAGTCTCAGTTTCTGGGCCTGTAGGAGTTAGTTCTGATCTGATTGCATTGGAGAAACATCTTTGTCAGCTATCATTTTTGTGTTGTGTAGATTGTTTCACTGAACAAGGAGGTCGAGAGAGTGAAGACTGACCAGCAGAAGTTGGACCATGAGCTGGACTTCATCCACGCCCAGCAGCGAGAGTTGGAGGAACTCCTGGATCCCCTGGAGAAGACCCTGGACCTCCTTCCACCCATCAGCTACCAGCAGCATGCAGACCTGGAGCGCGAACACACGTGAGTCAGTCACAGGGTCAGCTGCACAAGCACACGTGAGTCAGTCACAGGGTCCGCTGCACTTGCACACGTGAGTCAGTCACAGGGTCTGCTGCACTTGCACATATGTGTCAGTCACAGGGTCCGCTGCACAAGCACACGTGAGTCAGTCAGTCACGTGGAGGTCAGCTGCACTTGCACACACGTGAGTCAGTCACAGGGTCAGCTGCACAAGCACACGTGGAGTCAGTCACAGGGTCAGCTGGCACACGTGGAGTCAGCTGTCACACAGGGTCCGCTGAACTTGCAGGGTCCGCTGCACTTGCACACGGAGTCAGTCACAGGGTCCGCTGCACAAGCACATGGAGTGCACACGTGAGTCACAGGGTCAGCTGCACAAGCACACATGGAGTCACTTGCTGCACTTGCACGCGGAGTCACAGCGGAGTCAGTCACAGGGTCCGCTGCACAAACTTGCACGCACTTGAATCAGTCACAGGCTGCACAGGGTCAGCTCACACAGGAGTCACTTGTCACAAGTCCCCTACACTTGCACACGTGAGTCAGTCACAAGGTCTACAGCATGAACACATGTGAATCAGTGACAGTGTTAAAGTCCCGAACATACTTGAGTCAGTCACAGAGTGTGGACCTTTCATTAGATAGGCAGTGGGGTTAGCCTAATAGTTAAAGCGTCTGCTAGTCACACTGGAGACGCAGGTTCAATTCCCTACATGGGTACAATGTGTGAAGCCCATTTCTGGTGTTCCCCACTGTGATATTGCTGGAATATTGCTAAAAGCGGTGTAAAACCATACTCACTCATTTAAACACTGTAAACCTACAAGGAGTGGAAATATTGACGTGGTGAAGTTGTGTTGCAGGTATCAGCTGGCAGAAAGTCTGGATGCCCAGTTGAAGAGGATGGGGCAGGACCTCACGGAGATCATTGATCGTCTCAACTCCTCCAACTCAAAGACCGACGCCCAAGACCCGGTGAGGCGACTGATGTTACACATACCAATCATCAGTCAAATAATAATAATAATAATGTCACTTATAAAGCGCAAATGTCCACACACTTATGAATGCTCAATGCACTGAAAAGAATTGTGTAAAAGAGTCAGTCATAGGCACTTTGAAACAGGTGAGTTTTAACTTTTGACATGAAGGTTGAGAGAGATTCACATAATTTGATTTCTAAAGGTAAAGAGTTCCAAAGAGATGGTGCAACATAGGAGAAAGCCCTTTTCCCATACGAAACTAGGTGGAATTTGGGAACTTGTAGGTGCTGATTCTGGGACCGGAGTGAGCTTGATGGAATGTATTCTGTGATGTATTCTGGAGCTTGATTGTGGAGACAGCTGAAAGTGATGCAGAGAAGTTTGAAGTTGATTCTCTGTTGAATAGGCAACCAATGTAAGGATTTGAGAAATGTGTATTTGTGAAAAGAATGATTCTGATACAGTAACACCTACTTCATGCCTATGTGCCATGATTTAACTGAGAAATTGTTAGGTTCAGTGTTGAACCAGACTCACTCAATCACTAAAAATCACAACACTTTACCAAGGTTATTGCATGTATTTAATGACATGCTGGCATGTGCGTCAGTTGCTGGAACATGTCCACACAAGTACAATACAGTTTTAAACCACACACCTACTAACTCACTCTCTTGACATGACCTCTGGATGCAAGTATGAAAATATGTGTATTACACTGGGATTGAGAAAGGCAGGGGCCATGCTTCACTTTGCACATTAGAACAAAAAATGGCCCATTAAAATTTTGAAATTTACTATTGATACAAGGGCAGTGGCCCATTCTAAATTCAGAAAATGGCTAGTAATCCTGAACATGGCCCATTGTCAAAGTTCTCTATCCCAATCCCTGATTACATCATTGTGATTTCTGTTTGAAATGTACAAGTGAGATGACGACCTCCGTGGTGTAGTGGTTAGAGCGTCCGCCCAGAGAGCAGAAGGTCGCGGGTTCGATCCCCGACCGCGTCATACCAAAAGACGTTAAAATATGGTACTTATTGGTCCCTGTCTGGCGCTCGGCATTAATGGGTACAACAAGGACTGGTCGGCTCGGAGTCAGTATAATGTGTCTGAGTGGGGTATTCATGCTTCACTGCGGCATGGTATCTCAGTGGGCTAGCACTATAAAACCAGCTTAAGTCTGGGCTAGTACAAGGAGCCGCACATACACATACACACGCATGCACGTCGTCATATGAGCGAAATATTCTCAAGCACGACGTTAAACTCAATTTCACCCCACCTCACCTACAAGTGAGATGGGGTGTAACATCTCATTCATGATTTTTACACTTACTAACGATGTACATGTGCTGTGTGTAACTGCTTGTACAAGCCTAGATCGGTTTTACAGTGCTCATGCCACCATTTTAACATGGATATCTGGCACTTGTTGATGTTTTGTGTGTGTTTAGACGCAGCAGATCACCAAGATCCTGAACGCCCACATGGATTCGCTACTGTGGATAGACAGAAACACAGGTAAGTAAACATGCCTCTCTGGAGTTCATCAACATGACCTTACAGTATTGGTGTAAAATCTGCTAAATTTACTTATTCAAAAGAGGTGGTGTGGTAGCCTAGTGGTTAAAACGTTCACTGTCATTCTGGAGACCAGGGTTTGATTCCCACATAAGTACCTTGAGTAAAGCCCATTTCTGGTGTCCTTTGCTGTGATATTGCTGGAATAATGCTAAAAGCGGCGTAAAAATAAACTCACTCACTCTCTTCCTCTATATGTGTTTTATGGTGCACTCAGTATTATTCCACAAAATATGTTTATATGATGTGTTTATTTTCAGTGACTTTGAGTCGTCGAGTGGAGGACATTGGTAAGCAGATGGACTTACAACGTAAAGAGCAGGAGAGGAACTTCCGTCTGGCCTACAGTTGATAAAGATGGCTGTTGCTGGTTGTGTTGGATGTGTCAAGGATTCTGGGACACTTGTCAGACGTGCGAGGTTGATGCCACATGTCAGACATGCGAGGTTGATGCCACATGTCAGACGTGCGAGGTCGATGCCACATGTCAGACGCAAGTGACAGCACTACTTGTTGTTTATATAGAAGTGACAGATTTTCAGACATCCGTGGGATCAACATTTTCTGGATCATGCCATTGTTGCCGAAACTGGCTCCAGACAAGAGCAGATGCTTGTGACTCAGTTATGTTTTCTATTGACCGTAACATACACTTTCATTTTCATAAGTTCAGGATGTGTTAAAACGATAGAGCTCAAAATTTTGATACTTTGTGAAAAACGTATGTGTCTGTAAACATGATGAATGTCCTTGTGTGTAAATGGCACATCCTGTCATCCACAGGGATTAGAATGAAGTTTTGAGAAAAGCCGAACTAGCCGAAGCTCCTGATATTTAGGCATTTTAGACCTTTAAAACTGGCTCAGAAATGACAATATCATGAAAACAGCAACCATTAAAAAACTTTAAATCTGCTGAAGCACATTCATGCAATTGTCAACGGATTTAGACGATTCACAAAAATGACCCTTGGGCTTATGAAATTCCCGGAATTCTGCAGATCCGCGGAAAATTCTCATCCCTGATTACAGTTGTCATCCACTCATCGTTGTAAATCTCATTACAAACTCTACATCTGTTACATATTCATGAATTAGTGTGGTCTGCTAATAATCCAGATTTTCTGTTTGATTGGCATTTTAGAAGTTGATGAATAATAAGAAAAGTATGATACTTTATGGATAACAACTACTGTATTATATTATGATGCAACTTTCGGTATAGATTCTTATACCATTGTCAAGGGAAACGTCTTGTCATAATATAATAAAGAAGTTGTTACCCATAAAGTATCATACCTTTCTTATTAGTCCAGATTATATTCCTTAAAGCGTTGGCTTGTCACGCCGTAGACCCGGGTTTGAATCCCCACATGGGTACAATGCGTGAAGCCCATTTCTGGTGTCCCCCGCTGTGATGTTGCTGGAATATTGCTAAAAGCGGCGTAAAACCAAACTCAGTCAGTCAGATTATATTCCAACACTCAGTGACAATGAGTATTTCTTCTGGTGTTCAGGAAGATGAGAAGGAAAAGGACTTTCAACTACAATGTTTTGGTATTTTGTATGATAGTAGTTGGATCCCATGCCGAGATATTGCTTGAATATTGATAAACAGAGTAGTGGAGTACTCACTCTTAAATAACAGGGGCGGTGGGGTAGCCTAGTGGTCAAAGCCTTTGTTTGTCATGCTGAAGACCCAGGTTCAATTCCCACATTTGGTAAAAATTTGGATATTTGTTAAAAACGGCGTAAAACTAAACCCTCACACACTCAGTCTTAAGTAGTTAATGCAAATATGCTTAATCATGTAAGAACAAGAACACACAGTGTTAAGTCATGTCAGACTTAAGGTGGAGGACATGCTTTGTGACCAAGAAAATCTGGACTTTTATTTCATCAACAATACTAGTATTATGACTTTAACTGGCGGTAAAATGTCAATAAATTGTGAATCCAATAAAATTATATTTTCTATCAGTGTTTGTTGAGAATTATGTATAGATCCTGGAGTCATATAATAAAATTGTTATTGTAGATTGTCGGAATAAAATATTGACACAGTTCACTGTTTGTTACGAGGGAGGAGTGCAGAGAAAGGGACAGCCAGGTGTTCGAGAAGCATGTTCACAGACAAAGTTATTTATTCATTAACCTGTGCTGTGCCGTCTCCAACTGTTCTCGAACACCTGGCTGTCCCTTTCTCTGCACTCCTCCCTCCTCGTGTACTTCAATATTAATGATATGTTAAACAACTTTTTTATTTTTAGACAAAAATTTGCAAAACCTCAGAGTTGGTATGATGTTTTGATTGCAATTCATTGGTCTGTTATGTTTATTAGTTTTTTAGAGCAATTCATCGGACCATAATCAAGGACAGAACATGAACATACAGGTAGAACTTATTTTTATTGAGAATAACATTCGTCTGACAATACAAAAATGACCCACCATATATCAATGAATGCCTTGAAGGTGATGTTTCCTTCCTTACAGTGACGACAGTGGCATGCTGTGAAATACTATCACACACGTTGCACATGTCCAGTTTCTCCACTACCCGATTCAAGATCACAACAATATTCACTAGCACATGTCACTGCCTCTCTGCGGCCCAATGTGGTCAAATGAACTTACTCGTGAGATCCTCATGCCTTGTATCACAAATAAAATTTGACTTAACTAATAAATACAAAGGGACCTGTATTCATAAATAGCGTTTCTACACTGACACTTTGGTCCTATATATATGTTACAAAATTTGTCAGTTTCCTTAAGATTACACAACACAGTGTTCATTAAACATACACATCTCGAATTAAAAAACAACTCCCATCCATATTTTCCTTTTCAATATGGCTTGACTAACAAACTGCGAAATAGTTCAGTCACCATGAGATTGGTTTCTAGAAACTCATATGGTACACTCATTAGTTGTAGATAAAGCCCTTATGCACTAACCATTCATTATCTTCACATATCTCATATGTGGAACGGTCAGAGGTGAACAGTGCCCTTTGTCCAGAACACAATAGCAATACTCACACTTAAATAGAAGATATCCGGACACGAAAAGGTCACTACCTTCTACAGACTGAAAACAAGTAACAGTGTAAGCTCTGAAAAAAATTAATCACAGTGTTTTAAATCATTTAACTGTCTCAAACAATTCATCACAGTGTTTGAACTCAAGTGACCGTGCTTAAAAACAATTAATTAGCGTGGCTTAACTCAATTTAACTTGGTTTCAATTTCTAATGAATTTCCAGAAAGACTTGACATTAAAGTTATTTTTAAAGCTGAATATGATAATCACATTCATGAATATTGAGCATCGTCAAGCCTTACTGTTGATATTGCACTAAAAAGCAGCTACACTGATTATATTAACTAACAAGCTCACATCTGTTTTACATAAACCCCATCTATTTAATATCTTTTGCACTAAATATTCATAGGGAAGCTGTATCGTCTCTTGAATCCATGCCATTGTCAAGCCAAACTTTCAAGTAATTATAAACCCCAATACCATGCCATTGTGTGCAAATGAAAACAATTCAACTAAATAAAACAGCTTGTATAACCGGGGTCATTGAAATCTCAACATGTAGATTAATCAACTTAACTATTCAGAATGGAATAAGATTTTCTATACAAATGGAAAAAACTAAGAAAATCTCACTCAGCACTATATGAAGGAAAAAGGTCAAGGGAAAGGTACACCATTTAGAATTGGACTAAATACAAAATTTAATATTTACAAAATGCAACAAAGTAAATCAATGGTGCTTTAATTACCTTCTTTACTAATACAGAAGTGATGAATGAATCAGCTGATACGAAACTGTTTAATTTTCCATATAAAAAAACTGCAAGAATATTTCTCATGCCGTTATTCTTGTCCTCACTGAGTCATAAAGTACACTATTCAAAAGGAGTTACAGAACACACAACTTTATTCACATGACAATTGTTAAACTGTTACATAATGACAGTTAACTAGTTGTGAAAACAAATCTTTAAATCATTTTAAATAGTATATTTCCGAAAACAAAACAGTAGCATGTCAAATGTAAGTAAATGCACCTCATCCAAATGATCTGATTACAAATTCTGTCTGATGCCAGTATTCTCCAAGCATCATCAAACAAAATGCAGTCGTTCATCTCAACAAGAACAACTGTGTCGGTTACTTTAAACGGCATCCTTCAGTTACTTGCCACACACATGTATATTAACACTGACCTAGTACGTATACACGTTTAGAATGACGGATCAGTAATGAAAAAATATATTTCAAAATAGTTTCTGATGCAGAATTTCCCTCGTTTTATGATGATACACAATGAGAATATCGATGCATGAGAAAGACGAAATATCTGGTACCAGATATGAATGCTACCCAACCATTTAGCTTGTACTTTCAAAACATTTATTTCATCTTTGTTGAGTTGAGCAATTTGTTAGCTATAGCATAAGGAGTCATTCAACCTTTCAACAACAAACAAAATAAGAAAAAAATACCTTGCTGTAATACATCTTATTTCCTTGAGACATTTTTCCAAAACCATTTTGTGATGAAGATGATTCAAACACCACCTGCAACTGCTTCTATAGCATGAATAAAACAAAAAATCAGAATTCACCTGTTGGGAGTTAAGAATTATCGTTGAAGCACCCATGATGGCTAGCACATATCGATGGTTTGTACAAGTATCTTGACAATAAAACAAAAACATGTACAAACAATAAAAAAATATCATAACCCACTTGTGACAATAGCCATAAGATGTCTTACTGTACATTAAGAAGCAGTTTTGTACAAAACCTGCTTCAAAGGGAGAGAACTTTTATCAATTAAGTGCAGAAAATACATTGTAAGTCTCATGTGCGTATGTTTTGTGTCCAATTTGTCAAGTACTGCAATTCAAAGGAAAAACTGACACCAAATTAAGATGTTCGTCTAGAATCACAAACTTAGAAAATGAATAGAAAATTCAAGTGTTCTCAGAAATAATTGGAGTATGAGTGGATTCGGTGAGGGTGAAAAACTCACGTCAACTGACAACATTTAGATTACATCAATTAATTCCTAGTCCCATAAAATGAAGGAATGATATTATGAATAACCAGTTGAGGCAGAATTACCTACTCACATTAAGATTCTTCTTTCCTTTGTTCAAAATTTCATTTTGGAAGGTACCAATTCACAGGATAAGAGCTATCACTCAATTTCATCATTCAATTTCATCGACTGATTTGTGATCAGACCAAAAAATTAATAACCTACACACACAAATCTTCACATCATCATGATTATCCAATGGCAATGTCCCACAAATACCGACTAAAATACCTTTACAGAATCAAAATTCATTTCACTGACAGTTTACCAACATTCCACCTCATGTGCTTGTTCACTGTACACTTATAAATACTGTCTCGTAAAGTACAAAAAGAAAATATACAAGTCCATTTAAACATTTCAACACAATGCCTCTCTACATCATGCTTGCACATATAGGAATTGAGAAAACAGTAGCTGTATCAAGATATCAAAAATGTAAAATATCTAAAAATTCACAATTTGTTTACAGAAAAAAACAAGGCTTGAATGTTATTGGCTATGTTAAGATGAGCAATGACGAAACACTGCCAAGTTGACATGACGCTGACGAGTGGACTAACAGACACAAAATGAATGTTATCTATCGGATTCGGCACCTTATACACGTGAATGATGACTGTGTTTCCAACACAGGTAAACAAATAACTTCATCACAGGTCACATGACATGTCACATGATCAGAAGAGTTTGCATAGTCGTCTTCTATTTCGTTTCCTTTTGTCCTTTCCTTTCTTCTCTTTCTGCAACAACAGAAGTTAACACAGAGGTCAAATATGTTACCTTGAAGTCTTTCCTTTTTCTTCAACACAGAATCCCTATTGCATACAATAGTCATGCTGTTGATCACCGGATTATATGCTCCCAACATGTATGTACAGACCACTGCCATAGAGCTGGAATACTGCTGAGTGCGGTGCTAAACAAGAAACCTCTACTGATTCTTGATCAGGTGGTCAGGCTCCTTGAATTGGTGGACATCTCACATGTCATCATAAGATCTCAATGATTCATGCTGTTAATCACTGGATACAGCTGGTCTGAGCCCATTAAACAACAACTTAAACAAATTTACAGACTCAATGCCATACAGCTGGAATATTGCAGACAATAGCAGCTGACACCATACAGCAAATTGTACCCATGAGCAGCATTAAAAACAAACAAACAACTACATTTAAAATATATTTGACGAACAAGAAATGCTTCATCTTCTGTGTATGGACTTTGTCTACATTTGCACCAATAATCATAGAGTGAGTGAGTGAGTTGAGTTGAGTTTTACGCCGCACTCAGCAATATTCCAGCTATATGGCGGCGGTCTGTAAATAATCGAGTCTGGACCAGACAATCCAGTGATCAACAGCATGAGCATCGATCTGCGCAATTGGGAACCGATGACATGTGTCAACCAAGTCAACGAGCCTGACCACCCGATCCCGTTAGTTGCCTCTTACGACAAGCATGGGTTACTGAAGGCCAATATTCTTACCCGGACCTTCACGGGTACCAATAATCAGTGTACAGAAGGTACTTCATGGTAGTCTGTTTCTGAGAGCATACTTACATATTTCCTGATTTCTCTAACGAGTGTGTAAAAAGCATCATCAACACCCTGCCTCGTCTTGGCTGAAGTTTCAACGTAAGGAATCCCATAGCTGTCGGCAACCTGCTTCGCATCTTTTGAATGGACTGTGCGTGTGGGTAGATCTACCTTATTTCCTACCACTGAAACATACACAATCGGGTGACCATGGCAACAAGTAAGTCAAAGGTGATTGGTCACTGTTGGGATGCAAGTAATTATAAAGGTATAATAGTGTACATGGTAATCTGACATATTGTAATATCTTCTATCACAGTCAAACTTGACAGACCAACATTTTACAGCTAAAAGTGTTTGATTATCAGATCATACACTGCAACTAACTGATGTTGCAGTGTTTCATTCAGGAGCACTAATCAGTCTTAAAAGTGATTTCAGGGGTCAAATCCACAAAGCATTCATAGCACTACATCATTCATAAGCCTCTGATAAACTATATAGTTACGATAACTCATAACATTACAAATTCTTTATGGATTGGGACCCAGATCAAACAAGCTAATGGCAAAAATAAGGAACATACGACATTTGAAGTCAAACTTTGAAATACAGTCACTATAACTGGTGGGGCGTGGGGCGAACTGGCTAAAGCGCCAGGCTAGTGATCCAGCGAGCTTGATGTGACGGGATCGAGCCCACCTGTGACCGGGTGTCAAAACCTTGGAGTCAACTTTGCGTGCAGACTCTTTCAGTGTTGTCACAACCCCTTGTGTACAGTACACAACCCTGTGCACTTAAAACAACCCACAAATCCATTGGTATATGACCAGATGGTGGCCACATAAATACATGCAAACACCTAGTTGTGGGTACAGCAATGTGCAGTAAACTTGGAGAAAGTACTGTGACTATGTGTCCCAGTCCACCCAGCTGTGAATAGGTACCTCGTAAGGATGGGAATGACAATACGATGTGCCGTTGAGATTGACATCCAGTGAACAAGGGAAAAACAAAGAGCCTTTGAGCAGAGCTGGATATCGGTGCTATATGTATGTATGTATGTATGTATGTATGTATGTATGTATGTATGTATGTATGTATGTATGTATGTATGTATGTATGTATGTATGTATGTATGTATGTATGTATGTATGTATGTATGTATGTATGTATGTATGCATGCATGCATAACATGTCAGTAGTATGATAAATGTACAGACAAAATGTATTATTAGATGTGATGAATGTGATAGAATCAGTTTGTACTTACAAACCATGGGCACCTCGTCAGCATCCTTCACTCTCTTTATCTGAAAATGTACCGGAGAAATAGATAACATGGCTACCATTTTGTATACATGAAGCGATACACATCACTGGCATGTGTTTATTGCATATGCTTTTTGTATATTCAATGTATGTGTTTATTGTTTAATACTGTATTCAGGAATACTCATGTTATATGACAAATGCTATTGTCTATGTATTAAATAAAGTTCCCGAAACAAGGTAACTTAACAAAGATTATAAATCTATGTACATTGTTTTAAATATTTAACACAATAAGAGAAAAAAGTTTGTTTATAATTTTTGCATATTTTATTTCGTCTGCCTGCCCACCCACTTTGAGGTTTGAGATGATAAACATGTAAGAGTGAGTGAGTTAAAATTTAAAGTCACATCGGCAGTATTTCAGCTATTTCGTGACTAAACCGATTTTAAATTCATGACAATTACATATATATTGTAAAATCCTGTCAATGAAGGACCGTAAACACGACTAGCATATCATTGAACAGAATTTAATACTATAGTATGTAAAACGAAAACATTTAATATTAGAAGACAATACAATATAAAAATAAGCTATAGACTGGCAACAACTGAAGGTAGATCACCATACTAGAGACCATGGGGACTTACTGTATACACACATAAGAAAAATATGTATGATCTCAAGGCAAGCTTAGGCTGCTTGTAACCAATCCGAACATGGCATCCCCCAAGGGGATTAAGGGATATAACCCTTACAGTAATATAGGTCCATAGGATGTGCATTTACTAACAACTATCTTTCTTGCTGTCTGTTTAATCTAAGTAACTGTGCAGAAAATAGTTTTCAAGTGAACAACAGATGACTGAATGAAGGATGGAAGAAGGGAGGTAACTCTGACCGACCTGTTCTCTATACTGGTTGATATCTTCGAAAGACTTGGTATTGTTAACAGCAAACACACATAGAAATCCCTCCCCCGTCCGCATGTACTGGTCCCTCATGGCGCTGGAAGAGGAAGGCATACAGTCAGTTTCTGGGTAATGGAATACAGTTGCAATTTGTCATGTTCATTTCTGTCATCTTTGAATGGTGTTCTGCCAAGGCAGCAGCCTTCTGGGATTCCAGAAATAATTTATCGAACACCGGGACATTGGGCACGATGTCAAAGTGTCTATTTTATATAATTATCACAGACGCTGTTTCAAAAATATGTTACATCACTCGGACAGATGCCCCATACTGAATGTAAATGTGTTGCTTTTTGTTGCTTTTGGCATCTTGCTTTACTATCAGCGCACAATGTGTGAAGCCCATTTCTGGTGTCCCCAGTGATATTGCTGGATTATGGCTAAAAGCGGCGTAAAACCATACTCACTCACTACTATCAGCACCTTTCATTGGCCAACAGTTACAAATGGTCCAATCAAAGTCAATTTTACATGTTTTTGCAAATATCATTGAGAATGATTTTCATTGCTTTTTTCTACAACTAATATACTATGGCCACAACAGCCAAATTTTGAGAGCTGACAGTGCAAGAAAGATTAGAAATAGATCAATTTTAATTCTATTTTTGTTGTCACCTCTCATATTGCCAAAGATGTTTCGACACAAAACACCCCATACTGCTGAACTGCTGACCACAAGTAATGTTAGCTGCTGGCAAACAAGGATATGTTGAGCACCGACCTGACAACTGACCCGTATATCATGTAGGAGTGCCGCCCACTGGCACTTGCCATTGTGAAATTGTGAACGAAGGGCCCCAGGTTGTCCGCGATCAAGTGTAGTGCGACTTGCTACACCGACGTGAGAGTCTTATGAGCAAGGTGTGTGCAGCTACGTGCGGAATCAATTTCACCATTATGCAATGCATGTGCACTAGCCTACATCTGCTCTACCTTTCACAAACCAAATGGGTTTGTTCTTTGCCGTGCACCACCTACTTCTCGTAAATGCGTTCTTTGCATGGGTCCAACTTATCCGTGTTTGCCAGTAAACACAGAACGTTTTGCATGTTGCACCTGACAGTGACCATGGAGACTGAGAAAGGGATATATTCCCAACACACCCGGTCTTGTGACCACACAAACAAACTTTACACACTAACACATAACAATGGACATTACATATATGTATCTATTAAGTATTTTATTATCTCTCAGCGTGGCCCTATATATATTAAAAAAGATCCCATGTACATAAGCTGACATACCACCCTGTTCATTTTCGTGGCAGAATATATATTCAGCTAGGACGTCCAATGTTATCATAATTTAGTTCCATTATTTATAAAGCAGAAACGTGATTTCGTTTAGTGATCTAAAGCGAGGTTTAATTATTTGAGGTAACAAATTTGTGGTTGGCATTTCTGGGCATCAAATACACACAAAGCATGATAACTTTGTAAAATATGAATATATATCATGTAATACATAACATGGACCCCACATAGAATGCAGACATGATAGGACTAACAAAGCTGTGTGCTTTCATAACTGACCACACCAGATAGCCGAATGTAGAGAAATTACGAAATCAAAATTGATAAATATTTATCAAGTGTCGTGTGCCATGAGTATCCACGTGAACCACTAAGGTATTTTACTGCTCTGAGTTCAGTTCCAGTATTATCACTGGGGCACAGCTACAGATGACTTGTTGGGTCATTGAGTTATGTACCCGTTTGTGTTCATCTCAATTGGGTATTCTAATTTTCTTTTGGGTAATCAAATAAATTGTACCCACTTCACTCAAACTCAATTGGGTATATTATTTTGCGATTTTCCATTAATTGTAAAACATAATAAAGTTAAAATGTTGGTTTATGTTTTTGTTATTTATATTTGATGTATAATATGAGAAACGATGAGAAAGACTTCAAGTTGCCAAGTTCAGGTGCTGAAATAAAACCTCTCAATATACCTCAGTTATTTCATCTATCCTCAGTAACCTCCATCTGTAGCACATGGGTCTGCTCACTCCAAATTCTAGTAGGTTTGGTGACAGGAACTAATTCACTGGTACGCAAGCTAAGATTTGACATTTTTGTATGCACGCATGTAAGATCACATTTATTGAGTATTTACAAAAATTCAAGCGTACTTGTACACAATAGACTTAATAGGAATTGAGTTTTCACATAAATATTTGCGTAATTTACGCAGATACGCAGCTTATCTATACCTCTGCTGGGGACAACAAAAATGTGCTTTAGACATTGTACCCATAAAACAATTCGAAGCCAAATCTGTTCACCAACATTGTGCTCCTCAAAATAACCAATTTTTGTCCATGAGTGAGTGAGTGAGTGAGTGAGTGAGTGAGTGAGTGAGTGAGTGAGTGAAGTGAGTGAGTGAGTGAGTGAGTGAGGTGAAATTGGATTTAACGCCGTGCTTGAGAATATTTCGCTCATATGACGTGAGTGAGAGAGTGAGTGGCGATGCTTGGTGGCGTGGAGTGAATGCGTTTGTGCGCGAGCGAGGTTTTACACTGCTTTTAGCAATATACCAGCAATATCATAGCAGGGGACACCAGAAATGTCCAAGTCTGATTGCATACACAAAAAGAGGCTGATGAAACCCTAGTCAAAACCTGAATAGCTGGAGGAGGATCAACAACTCTCATCTTGTGACGTATTTTCCAAGGACGATGAATTTACATCAAGATGGCGACACACTATGTGGACTTATGGACGAGGGACGTATGGAGCAATGCACCTGTTACCACGGTTACCTCGTACATGCCCCCCAATACACCGTATTACCTGTACTCCTCTTGACCTGCTGTGTCGAGAATATCCAGTAGACACGTCTCCCCATCAATCACAACCTGTTTCCGGTAGGAATCCTCTGTAGAACATAACATTACTTACATCAGGGTTCTGTTGGGGTATGCTGTTTAGTGTAAAACAACCAAAAACTAGACGAGTCAACTTACGTTAAAAATTAACATAAAATGTCAATTAAATAATGCAGGGAGTAAACTAAACCTGTAAAGTTTATCATAATCATGCTAAAATCTCATAAAAATCATACATAATTAGATTTAACAACACAACCAGCCACTGTTTGGTATTTGCACAACACTAATTGCAGTAATGAAGTGACAGGAGAAATAATGTCCTAACGTTTCCCTACAGACTGAACATTCTCGTAGAGACGATTTCGCAGTTTAGAATCAACCTTTCTACTATTCACGTTCATTTTTCACAAAGCCAAAAAAATCTCACTGACCCATTAATATCATGTTCATAATCCACGTGTTTCCTGATAATGAGGCCTTAATTGGTATTTCTGCCAGACCTTTCCTATAAACGATCAGCCTATTACAATTCAAAGGTAGATATATTAATTTATATTTAGTTTCTGTTAGCTGAAGAGTTTACCTATCTCTCCAGAGCCATAAATTTGCAACTTTTTCAAACTATGTTCAGTCGCTGCAAATAGCTGCAAAATTGCCGAATGTTAAGTGATATTCACTCACTCAAACTATGTTCAAGACTGAAAAAGACTAAAAATCAATAATGGTCAAGAAGACTATGCATATGTATTCATACCAATCATTATTCAGTCAATAACGCAACCCTTCTTTACAGCTTATGTTGAGCCTTATTTGTCTCTCTGTATAGACATCCTGATCAACTAAATTTAAACTACATCCTGATCAACTAAATTTAAACAAATCCTGTTTGACGATTCACAAAACAGGTTGCCATGGTTACTGGGCTAGCTATGCAGCAGGATAAGTAACACACTGTCAATGAAGGGGTTCCTTCCTACAGAAGTAAACCGGGGAGATTCTCCCCAACACGTTTCACACAAAATCTGTCAGACAGTTACTTACCTATAGTGGGATCATACTCTTCTACAAAGCTGTGAAGAGACAGAAATATACAGACATAAAATACAGATATATACACCAATGTACATGAGAAACATTTTACTAAAAATCCATGGATTTGATTTTTTGAAATGTTACTGGCAAATTATATACTGAACAAGAAAAATGTTACAGGTGATAAAATATTTATTCAAATGAGATGGGGTTCTCAATTTCCCAAAGATGTTAGGCCAAATATTCAAAATCATTAACTTTTTTGTTCAGTATATTTGCAATCCTTACACCCAAACAGCTGTACTCTAACCCCTTTCCTCCCTTTTAACATATATTAGTCTTTTTGCTGTGGATGAAGAGAAGCCCCTATGGTGTTAAATTTTAACTCATTGACACTTTTACACAATTTGTATCTGTGCTTTATTTTGTGTTCACATTTCAGGAAGTATTTCCCCTTCTGTGAGTCAGAGAGGTTATCAAAACCACTTTGAAAATTATTCCAGTTACATCACGTCATGTGGGCCTAATGTGGGAGGAGAGAAGTGGTCGGCATCTCATGAGCACAGGTGACAAGCCTTGACACATAATCGGAGCGAACTGGGATACGAACCCATAATCAAAGGTTTCTGGCATCCCCAAGGGAAGCAATTCAGTATGACAAAATGCAGCACCTAAGGGACCGTTCATAATTTATGGCAAGGGGGGTGATAATGATTTTTATTCAGAAGCATGTACAATGTGAATGACCCCCGCCCCCTGCCCCCTAAAATTTACGTTACAAAGTAAGTGACCCCCTTGCATACCATGTACAAAATCAATGACCCCCCCCCTTCCCATATATTTAAGCATAATGTTGTAGTATTTTTATGTACAAAATTGCTGACCCCCCTAGTACATGTGTACAAAATTGCTGAACCCCCTTCCTCGCCAGACATAATGGGTGACCCCCCCTTAAAATCATCATCACCCCACCTAGCCATAAATTATGAACGGTCCCTAATGTGGGAGGGAGGAAAGAAGTGCTCGGGATCTCATTAGTACAGGTGACAAGCCTTCACACATAATCGGAGCAAACTGGGATACGAACCCATAATCAATGGTTTCTAGTGTACCCAAGGGAAGCAACTCTGCCTGACAAAATGCAACCAAGCCCCCTCTTCTGTGAGACTAACAAGAAAGTAAAGATGTTGAATGAAAGAAAGGCAATACTTACTGGTTCTGAATGAGCTGGATAGTCAAGGCACTCTTACCTACGCCTCCAGCTGGAACAAAAACAATACATTGTCACCATACTTAACAAAGACAGACATGTACAAATCAATTTTCAATACAATATCCATATTCTTGTACAAGACGCAGAAAGATCATTTTCTTCCTCTTAATGCCAAGGTTCAAAGTCTGCGTACATCTTGTGCAATGTACCCTATGGCCCTAATCACTTGTCAACCAGTGCCCAAAATGAAAGAATGCTGTTAGTCGCAAGTGAAACCCATGAACTCACTGATGATAATTGGTTCCTGGTGTGTTCAAGGGACACAAGTCTGCAGGCTTAGATGACTGTGATGCCACCTTCCCCTACATTGACTAACATGTCTGTTTGCAGTGAAAACGTACCGATGAATTTCACTTTAAACAAAAAAGTAAATCTAATATCATGAAATTAATATTGCGAATCCTCATAATTTTACCTTGCCAATTAAACATTTAAATCTCAGAATTTTATTCAACTTAGGATAAAAGTTGTTTAACAAACGATCATAGATTCAAATCGCTATTATTGGGTTGTATTACAAGGGGATAAGCACAGTAGGTGGAACAGTGAAACAGTGATGCACATGCGGTACGTGATGAGCGTTAACTTAGACCAGCCCTACTTGTTCTCGGTGTTTCATTTAATGTGCAGACCCCCTGTAATACAAACCAATAATAGGGATTTGAAACTATGATCATTTCTTAAACAACTTTTATCTTAAGTTGAATAAAATTTTGAGATTTAAATGTTCATTTGGCAAGGTAAAATTATGAGGATTCGCAGTCTTAATTTCACTTTATTCGATTTGCTTTTTTGTTTAAATCTAAATTCATCGGACGTTTTCACTGCAAACAGACTATACCTCCAGAGAGACTAACACCTAACTGATGATTTTAAGTGAAGAAACACAATACTGACTAAGAACACAGGGAGAATGATATGGAGAGACCCCGTACGGGGGAACTAATTTGCTCCACTATATGTCAGAAGGTCATGGATAGATACAGAGATCATATAGGCTTCAACTTCTTTAATATTTCAAAAAGGATATTTTGGTAATAGCGCTTTTTCTTCTATCAAGGATTTCCTTAAAAAGGTACAAGACCCTGGTAAAAACATCACACTGAAAGGTTGAATATGTTTTTACGCCACTTTTAACAATATTACAGCAATATGTTGAAAAACATCATAAAATGTCTTCACACTTTGTACCCGAATGGGAATCAAACCCAGGTCTTCATATTGACAAGCTTTAACCACTAGGCTACCCCACCACCCCCACATTGAAAGAACAATTGAGATGAGTGTCTTCACCGATACACCAGTTTCTTAACTGCTGCTTCGTGGCATAAAATACACAGGCTGCATTTGCCCAATAAAGTCCTAATCCATAAGTCATCTGTCTTCATTGTACTACAGCTTCCAAAATGCCACTTAAGGGCATTATAAACACTGGCAGCATTTGCCGATACTTTGATGGCTGGTGATTCCTACATCGATTCATGTTGACCTGCTTCAAAGACGATACTGGCTCCAAAGTCTGTAGCAAATGTCACTAACAATTCCCAAAGTAGAGCTAAACACTTCACAATTTATCATGTTTATGCTGTTATAGCTAAAACTACTAATATCATTTTGAAGGTGTCTTGTCTAGAGCTGATATAGGACCAATACGAGGAAAATTCTTTAACTCTTAATCCAACTTTACTGTACTGCATGTGCTATTAATTTTTATTCTTAAAATACCACTGAATTTAGTAACATAACAACTTCAAACAATTTTCAGTTCTGAACAAAATAATTTTGTCCCTAATTTGCCTACTAAGGGCTTTGTGTTTGGAATCCTAGTAAAATCCGTGCTCTAGCACAGTTTTTTAGATTGTACCATCAAATAACAGTCATAGCATTGACTGCAACTTTTTACCGTTTTTAACTAGGTTTACAAAATATGTGATAATCTAGTAGCACTGTCCATCCTTATATATTGTTCAAGCCCGTGAAGGTCCGGGTTAGAATGTACCTTCAGCAACCCATGCTTGTCGTAAGAGGCGACTAACGGGATCGGGTGGTCAGGCTCGCTGACTTGATTGACACATGTCATTGGTTCCCAATTGCGCAGATCGATGCTCATGCTGTTGATCACTGGTTTGTCTGGTCCAGACTCGATTATTTACAGACCCCCGCCATATATCTGGAATATTGCTGAGTGTGGCGTAAACTAAACTCACTTACTTATATATTGTTCATAGTCACATGTCTGAAATACAGCATTTATCAACTAACTGTACTATAATGTAGTGAGATAATGTTAAGGGCACATCAATCAACTCTATAATCATGATGATTGTCCTGTTATAAGAAGGCCAAAGTCATCTTCTGTACACATGGTAGCATATGTTGTTATTTAAACAATCCATATGTAAATAACAAGAATATAGCTGCCAGCAGAAGCTAGGATGTTAGAAGGAAACATCTGCCCTTCATCATCCATACCACGGTCAGTCACATCAGGTTACAGGAGCTGTAGTACAGCTAGGACATAAATCACCAGTCTTGGAACACCGTCAGTATCAGCTGTCCTGCTGCATCAATACCTCAACAACAACTACACCCAAGGAGTGTCTCAGTCAGGGAACGTATAAGCACCACATATTGAGTTGGTTGACACCAAGTAGTTCACTCACTACTTGGTGCCCATGCATTCACTCACTACTGGTGCCCATGCATTCACTCACTACACAGTGCATATGAACCAATGTATACATACCATATAATTGGTTCAGTGAATATGCACCAAGTAGTGAGTGAATGCAGTGAGTGAATGCATGAAGTGAAATGCATGGGCACCAAGTGGTGAGTGAATGCATGGGCACCAAGTGGTGAGTGAATGCATGGGCACCAAGTGGCAGTGAATGCATGGGCACCAAGTGGTGAGTGAATGCATGGGCACCAAGTGGTGAGTGAATGCATGGGCACCAAGTGGTAAGTGAATGGGCACCAAGTGGTGAGTGAATGCATGGGCACCAAGTGGTGAGAGTGAATGCATGGGCACCAGTGGTGAGTGAATGCATGGGCACCAAGTGGAAAGTGAATGCATGGGCACCAAGTGGTGAGTGAATGCATGGGCACCAAGTGGTGAGTGAATGCATGGGCACCAAGTGGTGAGTGAATGCATGGGCACCAAGTGGTGAGTGAATGCATGGGCACCAAGTGGGAGAGTGAATGCATGGGCACCAAGTGGTGAGTGAATGCATGGGCACCAAGTGGTGAGTGAATGCATGGGAACCAAGTGGTAAGTGAATGCATGGGCACCAAGTGGTAAGTGAATGCATGGGCACCAAGTGGAGAGTGAATGCATGGGCACCAAGTGGTGAGTGAATGCATGGGCACCAAGTGGTAAGTGAATGCATGGGCACCAAGTGGTAAGTGAATTCATGGGCACCAAGTGGTAAGTGAATTCATGGGCACCAAGTGGTAAGTGAATGCATGGGAACCAAGTGGTGAGTGAATGCATAAGGAGTGAGTGTTGTTTTATGCCAGAGTCAGAAATAATGAGGCAGGGTTGTTTGAACATTGACTGCAGAGAAAATGTTACATTCTCTTCCAGGCCATTCACATTACAACACAAGTGTGTCAATAACAATCTGAAGGTCGTGTCTATATTTTCAAAACAAGTTATTTCAGACAGAGAGAGCTTTAGGATGTCAACTTCCTTGTTCTTTTTTCAGTGCGTCATTCCAGTACAGATGTTACACAACTACACGAACAACCAGATTTCATCAGCATTATAGCTCCTTAAAAGCCGCTTAAAAAAATACCATTTTCATTGCCTATATGCACAAAACACTCATTCTTTTCTTTGAGAAAGAGAATATTCTGACACCCTGAAATACAGAAAGTTCTTCTATCGGTCCAGTATCTGGTGTCCCTATAATGATTACTGTCGTGCAGTCTGGCATATTAAGATGCACAACATGCTTCAACTCAGTATCGTGTGCTCGCCATAAGACATAATCAATACTATTTAAATTGGCCATCAGAGCGCTGCAAATACAGTGGCACAGATTGACTTACCCTGTACATATCGCTGATTGTATTGTACATGTTGAACATGTAGGTGAACCGACATCCAAGACATAATTGTCAATAAACGTGGATAGACTGTCAACATGTTCATGCTCATAGTGGAAGTAAATAGAGACGTTTTGTGTCGGCAATACAGTTTCGGCACACATAGGTATCAAGTACGTCATTACTACATTTGTACTGAAATATAGTGCCCATAAAGACACAAGCTTCATCATCCTGCTGGAAATAGCAATTACAAAGCTGCAATGAATTCCCTGAGGCAAATACAATATGTATCACAAATATAGGGTAATGAATATGACTACTTTATATTACCTATTCATGAATACTTGATGTTTAACACAAAGGAAACAGATTAACAAAGATGTCTTGTAATTGCTTAGGTTGAGATCTTTCAGTGATATTTTTTGAAAAGCTGACAGGGTAAATTATACAATTATTTAGGAACAAAAACAGAACATCTGTTACATATTTGTCTTATATTGAAATATTAAAGGTACCATTATATGTTATTACTTTTCAGGTATGTAAAACAATCTAAATTCTGATGTTCTTCTATTTAACACCACAGTTAGCAACATTCCAGCCATGTTACACCAGTCTGCAATAGGTCAAATCTGGACTAGACAATCCAGTGATCAACATCATGAACATCAATCTATGCAACTGGGATACGATGAAATGTGTCAACCAAGTCAGCGAGTCTGACCAAAATCCCGTTACTCGCCTCTTACGACAAGCATGTGTTACTGAAGACCAGACCGCCTCCGTGGTGTAGTGGTTAGAGCGTCCGCCCGGAGAGCGGAAGGTCGCGGCTTCGATCCCCGGCCGCGTCATACCAAAAGACGTTAAAATATGGTACTTGTTGGTCCCTGTCTGGCTCGGCATTAATGCATTAATGGGTACAACAAGGACTGGTCG